CTTGTAGCATCTGGCACCATTTATACACCTACAGTCAGACATGAAGCTTTAACTCTAAGATTACTGCAGACTTGTAATGCAGTAGTACTTACTGCTCTGACTGTGGTTCAATATGTAAAATCCAAGAAAATGGGTTAGAGAATAAGGAAATGATAGATATAGTGGGCACCTCCCCAATGCAAGGTTGTGCCGTACCAGAGATTGCTGAGGTAGTTCAAGTAAGATGACACATTGCTACAGCACAACACGGTGCCGTGAAGAAGTATTAACTTAGCCCCTGGGAACAGTTCCATCCACTTAATTTGTCTTAATTACTGGGTCTAATTAACTCCAACAAAATAGTGCCATTTGGTATGGTTACAGTGCTTCATAGGCAAGCCTGGAGATCTCTGTGTTGCACACAATAGGTGTGGCTTCTCCTACTGGCAAAGCTCAGCTGCCCAGGGTGTGCAATGTGGAGCTGCTCTTATTAACATGGTTGTCTGTTATGCTGACCAAAGCAACTTCTAACTCCCCTCTTCCTCCAACTGTGTTAACATTCTATCTTATTATCTGCCAAAGGGAAGTTTAATTCCAGTTTTAATCCCCTTGCCTTTGCCTTTACAGACTCTGAATTGCCATGAGACTACTTATTCCTCAGGTCTCTGAAAAAGCAAGGATGGAATACGTTTGTTCAAGTGTGCCAGTGCAGAAATCAGTCTGACTAAATGAAAAAGGTTTTATATTTTGATAGCAATGACACCCCTGCATTCTGGTGGATGCTGCCTTCTTGATCCTTCCAAAACCTCAGTCTCACCTCCCCATATCTACTCTGCAGCCTCCCTCTAAGCCAAGTATAAGTGCTATTAAGAAAGGGGTACTTTGTAAATTTGGAGTGAAAATAGACATGAAATCTGTCACCAAATGGCGTGACCTTTCTCTGGGCAGCATTAGCCTTTTTGGTTTTTTTCTATGTTGTCTCTGTGCTCAACATCATCTCACAGACCTGCCTCTTCTCTTTCAAATCACTTTATCAGTTTTTGTCATGAAAGAAGTATCTATCCGAGAAACAGGAAAATCATGTCTGCTTATGCAGTGGGGACAAGAGCAAACTTGAAAAGCAAAACTGTGTTAAATGCATACAATGGAGGAATGATTTTTTTGTTCTTTTATTTTATAAGGCCTTCAGAATCTCAGCTTTGCAGGACTGAGACTGTCTATTGCTGTATTTACACAGCAGCTAATTAATTTCTGGCTGGATTCTGCTCTTGACTTCTGGCTACTACCAGAATTAGATTATCATAATAACAGCAATTAGGATGTTCTCCTTCCAACAGACTGGATAGCTTCAGACACTTGATCTGACCTATTCAAAAACTGAAGATTAGACGATCTGAAAATGACATTTCTGAGGACAAAGAATAAAAAAGATACTTTGCAACTGTGTGTCTAATTTCAGCTCATTACTCTCTCATCACCTTTTACCCTTTGCATCTCATACTTGTAAAGGAAAAGATTTCCTGCCATATGAAGTCAGTAACAAATCACTTGCACTGCTGATGAAATTCTCTCTGTTCTCATTTGTTTGTAACATAAATGCAGAATAATTGGGGGATTGGACAGTACAAAAATATTACCATCCTATAAAATCAGACATGCTTGTGTAGACTGAATGCCAAACAACAATGTATCTGTCATGCAAATCACTGATGCTTCTTGTATAACCTGTGAAGAAGAAAAAAACCTCAAAGCAACCAAATCTAATGAAGTCAGTTCTCAAAGAGAAGCCTGTGATACCTTCTCCATGCAAAATCTATACATGAGAACAATCCCAAGCCCCTTAGATCAGAAAGAAACCACAAACTGGTGTGAACTCAGTTTGTTACAATTTGCCTAAAACTTTTAACACTATGCAAAGGCTAAACATTTTTTATTAACTATGTTGGAAGAAAATCTAGAATGAAATTACGAACTTGATATCAGAATTTAGTACAGTTTTGTTTCCAAGGCATGTGAGCTTGGCACAATGTAGCTCTGACCTCGGCAGCTGTGGAGACCTGAACTGTGCTTTGGGATGTCTTTTCCTCTCTCACCAAAAGAGTGACAGCAGCCACCTACCCTGTCACATGCCAGTATTCTGCCCTGGTATCCACAGACACACAGCTGCTTTGCTTTTCTCCAGCAAAAGGCCACTGCTATGGAAGCTGCTGTCCCCTCTGCATTCTCCATGTCACAGCAGCAGCTTCCCAGCTGGACTGTCCTGGGCAAGGATCAGGGAGATGAGAGGGCAGCAGGGTGTGATGCTGCTGGTGCCGGGCTCCCAGGGCTGCTGGCTCCTTCTGCAGAGGAGGTGTCAGCACTGCTGGAGAGCAGCAACTCTGCCCGGCAGCAGCTGCAGCTCCACACATCCCCTGAGAGGCATCCAGCTCTACAGGGAGGGGCTGAACAGCCATCCTGAGCACTCAGGGAAAAGGAAAGTGGATGCTCCAGTACTGGTCTTCTGTTAGAGAATGGACATACGACGTGCTTATTTTCTGAAATTAAGATGATGGGTGTGGCTGCACTAGGTGGGTAAAATCAGAAACAGTATCTTGGATGAGCTAATTTAATCTTTTTTTATCACATGAGCAATCCTTTTGCAAACAATGTTGGACTAGTTCATTGCTTCTTGATTGGATGCAGAAAGGAATCAACTTTGTAACACAAAATATGCTGCTTCAGGAGATTAATAGTAAATTGGATCAGGGAAAGATTGCAATCACAGCCCTGGACACTACGTAGGAACAGATGGTAGCTCATGTTAATAACTTGGAAGGCGAGGGTGGCAGAGCAGAATGCAATGCATTTTAATGAACTCCATTAAAACCAGGAGGACCAACTGTGGCCATAGTTAAGGTCTTGCTTCTAATCTTATAGAATTCAAAGCAAAAAGTTATATTGCCATTAACAACTGAGTTAAACTCAGTTTCTAGAATATCTAAGGGAAGAATCAATGATTTAAAAGCCAGCAGAGCTGGGGAGAGAAACAGCATGCTGATCCATATTTTGTGACTGGATTTATTGAGTTTCCTGTTTAGGAATGAAACCATAGGGGGTGAAATTGTGTATATTTATAATAATTTATACTAATTTCAATTTCCATTAATTATTGTTTATACACAGGAACTTTTTCACTATTGATTCTGGGAGCTACTTAGAATTTCTAATGACAAGAATGGCATTTACTCTACTCAGAAAGACAGTATCCACAGCAACACAGAGATGAGATCGTATTCAGGGACAGGTTTGGAATAGACAGAAAGAGTCAAGTGCCTCCTAATGAATCCTCTATATCACTCTCTGCAGAATTAGGATTAATGTTAATATTTTTTTAAAGTCCTGATTCAGCCTAAGCACCTACACTTTATATATTGTATAATTAACTCTTCCTCAAGAGCTTCCTGTTCTATTCTTTACAACCAAGAAACAAACCATGGCTTGATCTGAAGCCACCTTTCGAGTGATCAGCATGCTCTACTTAGCAAATAGAGTGAATTATGTTCTGTGAATTATCCTGTTGCAGTACAGGATGTTTATAGTTCAACGACTAAAGGACTACGAGTGTTGTGGTGCTCAGGGATGTCCCGTGCAGACTGGAACTACTGGAACTACCCCTTCAAGGTTATGGAAACATGGCAAGGAGTGGCTACTGGAAATTCTCAGTAATCTGTGCTAACTGTATGTAGATCCAATCCTGACAGTGAGTTGCTGAACAGCAATTTTCTAGTAGTTGTCCTCCAGATAGGAGGTTGTTGCACCAGGAATATGTTCTAACCCGTAACAGTGGCTTTCATTTGGTTTTTGTGCTTCTCAGCTCTCAGAAGCCTTTGCCTTCATTGATCACTCTCAAAGGATAATCTCCTGCCTGACATCAGCTTTCTCAGACTTCTGCTTCTGATTCACTCTGACATGACTACAGAACATCACTTTCAAACATTAGTTTGAACATTTCTTCCCCTTTCCATGTCTTAGATTTCTCCTGTTCTGTTGTCGTTCTACATATTATAATCACCTTCCTTCCTTTCTTCCTTTTTCCTCCGCTGTCGTTAGTATGCAAGTTCCTCATTCAAATAATATAATTAACAAAATAAAGTAACACAACAGCAGATGAACAAAATAGTTCTTTCATCAATAGACATTCTAGTCATTCATCTTTTTTCTGTTTGTCATCATAAAAATCTACCATATCATCAAAGCACCACTATGAAAGACATTCTGGACAGAACAATATAGGAATGATCTTCAAGTATTCATTTTGTTTAATCTTTCATGTCTGTTGAATTACATTGTTTTTTACGTCCAACCGCGTACTTTTTTTCCCACCCTGTCAGACTTGCTCTGTAATTAGCAGCAGACTTGACTAAAGTCAATGGCAGTTTCATGCAGGTATTTTTACTTGGTTTTCAGCAGTAACCATATTTTAATGAGTGGGTTTGAAGCCATTAGTTGAAGACTGTCTGCTATACTGAAAAAAATGTATATTTTAGTAATGGTTAACCACAGTAATATCCTAGGGGATAAAATGAAACTGCATTTGATTCTGATGGAACTAGAATGAATACAATCTCCTCTTGAGCACAAAAAGATTTAATTATAGTGTGTGCTTTCTCCATAATTTCATTCTGTAAATGTTTCTTACAGCCGGATTAGCAATTTTCAGCTAGTAAGAAAATATGGAGTGTCTATAGTGCTCTCCAGCGAGGATATTTGTGGTTCTTTGGACACTTATGATTTTTGACAGAACTGGGTAATAAGAAATAGCATTTCGAGTCACAGTTCTTTTGTCCACAGATGACCTCATATAGTCACAGTGCAACGATCTCCTTCCTTTCCAACACTTCTTTTTCATTAACCTGTGAAGCATCTTACACAGGTACTCCAGAAAGCTCTTACCACACACAGAAATCTGATGCCAGGTGTCACTTACAGTGGAAATGAGTTTAGTGAACTCTCTAGTGTAATTAATAGTTTGTTCTAATTACCTTCCAGAGCATATTTCATATCCTGGGCAAACAGAGTCCACATGATTTCAGCACTGATTTTCCCCATGTTCAACTCTTGAGGGAACCTGCAATCAATCATATTACATCAGTTCACTTGCTGTTAGAAATTATCCTTACAGCTGCACAGCAGAAAGGCAAATATTTCCACAAAATAATTCCTCTAGTATGCACTTACTGTATTTTATGTTTTGTACAGTTATATAAACCATCCAATCTTCAAATACAAACTTCTTCAATGCAGGGGCCTGGGTAAATAATTAGTTGAATGTTGCACAAATTCCCTCACATGACATTTTAAATCAAGAAGCATGTATCTATCTTGCAGATGACTCCTCGGCTTCAGATAAATCAGATGGCTTATGAAAAATCTGATACAGCTGGCTCAGATGTTTAGACTTACAGGTTTTCCTTAATTCCCTTATTACACTGGAAAACAGTGAAGCTGTCTGTGAAGCTATATTGGTTTTTACTAGTTAAATCCAATTCACTGCCTGAAGACTTCCACCTTGAAGTATGGATAAAGCACTGAAAAAGATAACAGGTAGTGAAATGCAGATTTTGATTCAGAATTTTAGTTTTGGTCTTATGCTTCATGTCATCTTTGAGAAAGTCCTTTTTAGACATGTTCTACTGTTATCAATTCAGTATTTTTTCCACCGCTTTTTCATAGATCCCATCTGTTCCTTATTCTATGTAAAAGAAAAGCTTTAATCTTTCAGTTACCATCTTCACTGTTTGCTATCAGAAAAAAAGCGGACATTTAAGTGACAGACACTATGTTTTATGCCACATTTTAAAGGAGAGCTATTTGTCTTAAAAAAAAAAAAAAAAGGCTGTTCTTAATGCAGGTGTGGGATGTTCTCAGGGCACAGAAGCAGATCAAGCCAGGTCATGCAGATGAAGAGCAGAAAGTACATCACAGAATCCCTGAGTGTTAAAGCAGTTTGTTTACAGCACAGGGTGCAGTGAGAGCCACACGAATACACCCACAGTTCACTGGGATCACATAAAGTAAGGAAATTATCATATTCATGAGAAAATACACAGAGTCTGTGACTTTTGTCTTGAGTTTATTACAACATTTTACATGAGCAGAGAATTTGATCCAAAGTATTTTCACCTTTTATTAAAGCACTAATGGGATTCAGAAAATATTCTGTAATGATTTTTGTGAAAGTGTAAGAATTTTTAAAGCTCTTGCTGACAAAGAAAGAGTGAGAATTATGTGCAACTTTATAGTGGTAGCAGCATGATCTAATTAATGTATACTTTCTAGGCACATATTTGACCCTGATCATATCTGCACAGAAAAAGTACTTAAACAGCTCATTAGCTCAGTCACTTTAATAGGAGGTAATTGCTATCTCAGTTCACTGAGCCTTCTTTGTGCTAATGGCTGCTCAGCTAAAGAACTCTGTATTAATTCTGTTAACATAAAATTAATTGCTGTTCAAAAGCCAAAATGCATCTCAGCTGTCTTCGTTTCTTCACCTTCAGTCCAGCCTGAGTGCTCCCTTAGCACCAGACTTGAACTTTGGCAGTGTTGCTCTGAGGAAGTATTTGGCAGCTGATTTAATATTGACACTGTCTTTTGACCATAATGCAAAGCTGGCCATAAAACAAGGCTGGGTCTGATAAAAATGCATTTGTTTGATTAATGGGATATATATGTGTATGTATTTTAATTTGTGAAAACACATGCACACACATAAACTTCAATTATCTGTGTTGTATAAATTACTGTAGTTCAATACAGTGTCCTGGAGTCATCCTACCTGACTTAGGCTAAGTCTAAAATCAATGACGGACTTTTCCTTTTCCAACTATTTCAGACTTTGGTCCCTAAGCAGCAAAACATCAGACAAATTTCTCATGCAAAAACTCTACAAATTGCATACTTTGTAAGCCATGTATTATCACATTTCTCAGCACAGAAAAAGGATGACCAGGAGAGTGCTCTGTTATTCTTTTTGCTCCTGATACTGTTATTTCTGTCCCGTAGGCCAAAATTTTCCCAATTTCTATGTCATTCTTAGAACAATACTACAAAATCTGAGTTTATCCAAAACAGTTAGGTTGCCCCCACATGATGATACCCATGTATTTCCAAAACTACTAAACTGCATATAAAAGGCAGCCACTTCTGGATGTCTTCTCTCTATTGATTTTAATGAAGAAAAAATGTAGGGAAAACTTTTCTCAGTGGAAAATTCTAACAAAGGGCTGTATAAAATCCCACAGATCAATGGAATGAAATTGAACTCAGCTTAAATGAAAGTGAAAAGAATCAATGTATAAGCAAAACATAAATGAACTCCCAAAGCTTTTATCCCAGATAGTGCTGCATGTCTCCAGTTCAACCCTGAAATACAAAAATCCTATCATGACAACTAAAAATGCTTTTTCTTAATTTGTGCTCTCAGATCTTCAGTGTACTACATTTTGAGAATATCCAAGTCCCTGAACCTCAGAGGCACATTCTCAGAATAGCTCATATTCCATCCTTGGATGGTTCAATCTCATCCAGGTATTAAATCTCACCGGTCTTATGAGTGAATACATTAATTTTTGTCCTGTGCTTGCAGCAAGAGGTTAGATCAGACCATCTGTAGAGTGCTGGCCATGGTCACTGCTTCACTAACCCTTAAGACAAAGTTCTATCTGATTTTGGAAAATATGTATTCTATTTAAACTGTGAGCAAAGAGTTCATTTATTCTTACTTTTTATGCTCTATTCTCCATCTAGCCAAAGTTTTCATTTTTAAATAAAGTAACATTCCTTTTCTTGGAGAAAACATAAGACAGATACTTTGTACTACAAAACTATTAGTCTATACAACTAACCTGGTCTTACAGTACTACAAGTGCACAGGACAGTGTTCGTGGTGAAAAACCAGAGTGGGGCTTTGTTTTGCAGGATAATGTTCACAAGTCCAACGAAAGAAGTGATTTTCCTATGTTTTCACAGAATAAAGTGTAACTGATAATGGAAAATATCACCAAATCAAGACACAAAACATGTCAGATTCACTTTCCACCATCAACAAAACATTCTAGTCAGCCTGACACAGCCCAGTTCCTGACACATTGTACTCTGACTTTTTTCACTTCTTTCTATAACTTTTTTTCCCACTGACGCACCTTTCACAACTCACTGACTCACACGTTGCTGTTTCTGCAGTATAAGTTACCATCCTTTTCTTCACAGCTTTATCAAACATCCTAGCTCCTGAAGCATGAGGAAATCTGCTCCCAAAGATGTCACGACCCAGTACTTTCCATACTGTGGAATGGGGAGGGAGTGTGTGGAACACTGTGTGATCACAGAGAAAACAGGTCCTTGCATTGCAAAGATCTAAGGATCAGTGAAGAACAAACTGAAAAGTCCCACTAGAGCTGTCTTGTTTCTTAAATTTGTACCACAATAACAACATGACTATTCTGAGTATATATAAAAAAAAAATAAAAATTGCAGAGGCATAAAGTTTAGATTTTGCTTTCAAAATGCACAAGCATATTTCAGTTGAAGATTTTGGTTTTGATTTGTTGTTCCTTTTATTAGAATAACTCTTCTATTTGGATAGCAATTTCTGCTGTCTCACAGCCCGTACAATGTGTATTTACAAGTAACAGGAAGCCCTAGATTTGCTTGTGAATCAGATTTCAAGCACATTTTACATTGTTCAACTACTTGAATGAGAATTTCACACCTTAAAAAACAGACCATGTTTTTCCCCTCAAACCTATCGAGTTTCTTATGTCATATAAGAACTGCAGGTTGTTCCCACACTCCCATTGGATGGTCTGATCTGGTCTGTCAGTGGCTGCAGTGCTTGCTGAGGCAGTCATGTTTCATTTGGATTAATAATCTGATACAGTTCAAACTACTGTATCACAGCATAATTTTTGCCTCTAAGGTAGATACAAAAATAGTTTCCAAAAATGGTTGAGGAAAAGAATTCTGAGCAATATTATAAAATTGTGAAAACTCCTATCAGAATGCTTGGAGCTCTCCTGAGGATCTTCAGTTACCTCATTTCCAAAATAGATTTCAAATCAATGTAGGCCTGAATATTCCACTGAGACACTCATGGCCATGTATTCCTGATAAGGAATCATAGTTTTGCAATATTCTTATGTATTCAGCTTATATTTCCCTTTCATGCATTTTAATCTATTTTCTTTTCTGGGATAAGCAAAGAAGAAGAGGTTGTCATTTGTTCTCAATAGTTTTTACATGCTCCTTTTGGTTTAGGAGAATCTTTTTTTTTTTTAAAAAAAGGTATCCAAAGCAACTGAACAGTTTTTCAATTTTTTTCCTCTCACAGCTTCTTCATCTTTTGCTCCTCATGTCTCCTACTTCTCAAAGACGTTATTCCCTGTGCTCATTCTTCCACTTACAAAATAACAGTGAAAATGGGAGAGAAGTCAGAGACACCAGCTCTCTCCCTTAATCTGTCCCAATTCCGTCCTCTCCTGATTCTCTTTTCACATCTTCCACAATCACTCAGCTGTACTTCAGGGAACCTCCTAATCCCCTTAGAAGAACTCTGTTATTTATCCCTTTACTTTCTCCCTCAAATTTGTATAAAAATATAGCTAGAAAACTTTCAAAAGAAAATTAACCCAAATTTTAATTTCAACAACCCAATGTTTAATTTCAACAAAGAGACTGAAATGAAACACGTGTATATTTGTTTCAGTTACATGGTTTATAATAAGTGTATTTGTTATGCAGCTGCCAAACAAAAAATTAATGGAGGAACCTCACACTAAATTGTAAAAATAGAGTAAACAGGAAAAGTATTTTCTTCCCTCTGTAGGGTAAAAACTTATTCCTTAATAAGGTCAGTTCAGGAAATGACTGAACAAAGAGATGCTTATTATCCAGAACTAAAACAATCCTTCATTTGTTTAAAGGAAGGAATCAGAAGGCAAAGAAATATCTTCCAACTGCTGGTTATCACCAAGAGGTTTCTTTGTTGATTATACTTTGAGTCCATAAATAGTGTGGTATCTTTTATCAACAAATAAACACATCTCAGTGTGCAGAGTGCCTTCAGCATCTACCCTATGTTGGCTGAAGGAAACACACTTATTCCTGCTCCCTTCAGCCCATTCAGTTAAATGCAACCACAGACACCTCTATTTCTTGTTCTGTCATAATACAGATATAGGTTTCAATTTAACTTTAGCATAAGTCATTACAGCCAGACTGTGCCCAGATTTTCTACAGTCTCTCTGTAAAATAGCTCCAAAGAGCTAAAGGAGCTGAACCATTTCCCTGGGGCCTCATCACATCACATTTCAATTAGTGCTACATCAGTTTCTGCAGCTGTAAGATGTGAAACATGTTCCTTTGCACTCCTGTATATTTTGTGTTCAAACACAGCACTCTGTCTCCTCCTTCTATATTTATTGATTGGCTCTCTCTTTTCTACTACTGCATCAACCTTAAGTTATTTGACCTGTCTTGGTTATTGATTGTACCTCCCTCATCCCTTACATCTTCAATTCTGAGTAGTCAACTTCCATCTCTAGAATATTGCTCTCCATTTTACAAATTTCCAAGTCAGTGTGGTTAGGCTTTCTCCCTAGCCAATTGTAAATTTGGAGAGGATCTTTTTGTGTAGTTCATTATTCTGTTACAAATAAATCCCTAAAACTCATGCCTAAAAGACTCTCAGTGTGATTTGAACACCATGTGCATCAAGGGACTATAATAACATTAATGCTATCACACCTTTTCACTGAACTTTGCTTCGAACCATTTAGTTCTCTTGCATAGCATTTTGCAACTTTACTTTTTTGGATGGTTCATATACCACCTGTATTTAAAGCTCCCAAAACTAAAGATTGTCTTTCAGTTATCAGAGCACTAAGTTTTCATCAAATTATGCCAATGTTATGTTCTGCATAAAAGCCTCTAGCTAGATTCTATTTAAAATTACAAGTACTGATTCAAGTGCATTTCCTGTCCTTATTTTCATAAATCCATGATTCTTAACTTTTATAGGGAAATTAGTTACTTACTGGTTCAAGATTGGTGTATATGCTGTTTTATCTTCATCTATAATGGTGACCATCAGAGTAATAAGCTGGGCCCAGAAATCCAAATTCTTTGTTGTTGGTCCCTGCTCTTCTTTAGGAACTTCTTGTTTCTTACTCTGTTAAAACAAGATTGAATATATTTTTACTAGAGAAATTAGATAAAACATTATGGATTTCCATCTACAGATTGTTACTTGGCTGGGAAAAGTGACATGCTAAGAATCTTCAGAAGTTTCGGAAAAAGACTGATTATCCAACTCAGAGTAGATTTTATGGAGTATTGTACTTGGCTGTGGAAAAATATTAAAAAAAAGACTGTCACATCAGCAAAGAAGATCAATAAAGGCTTTATTTTTAGTCTATGTCTGTCCTTTAATTAAGTACATTCTTAAATTCTTTGTTGGGCTGAAACTGAGTGCAGGTAAAATTGTCTGCTGAGGCAGAACTTTTATACCCTACATAATAAAGACCAAACAAATCAATGCTAAAGAGCATTTAATGTTTTGTTTTGAATTATACACTGAAGATATTCAGCCTAACAGCTGCTATGCTGTATGGTCTAAATGCAGAAGCAGTTAAATTTCCCTTTATTTTATTGAGAATTTTGTACTTTTTAGTTTCACTGAAATGTGTATTTACAGATATTTTGTCTCTACAGTTTTGGTTTATGAATTCTTAGCCTACAATTTCCTAGACAAAGTATTCTGCAGTTCTTTGCTTGACAGAAAGATCAGATTCCTTATCAATGTCCAATAAATAACTTCATTGCAGAGACCCAAAGATGAAAATAAATATTTCTAGCTCTGTATGGATACACACATAAATACACATATAATTTCTGCCTCTTCTACACAGCTGTCTGAGATGGAAAGGGGTCTCAGTTAGTAAGTCAGAAAGAACACATGCCTGTGATCCTGCAAGTTTAAACATCTGTACTTTTTATTCCTAGTCCATGTATGACCACTGCAATGGACCCTGTCTTTTTGAGTAGACATAACACTGTTTTAGTGTCATGGTGAATTAATGAAATGTTATTTTAACCTCAATTAACTTTTATCTATTAACAGCATTTAAAATGGCAGAAAGGGAATTTCAACAGCACTTAATTGAAATTGTTTCTGTGGCCACTGTGGAATATTTTAGAAAAGTGTCATTAATCACACAGCTACGTACTCAGTTGCACTACAAATGGTACCACTTCAAATGTCTAAAGCAACTGAAATAAAGCTCAGGTACAAGAGAGGATGGGCCTGGTGTCGCTGGCAATTAAAAACCACACATGCAAATGAGAGTGCTTTTCAAAACAGAAATGAACATTGGAGCATTAATGTCACTCACAAGGGCTTTCATTGGTGTACATTATATTTTTATTAGAAGGCCTTGTTTCTATATCAAAGATTTATGTCTAATATACCGCCTTTTTCTCAGAGGTCTGTGCATGTTTCAGTCAAATCAACTGAAAGGCAGTTCTAGAAGACAAAGCCACTTCACATTTATCTCAGCATCTTATACAAAAACTATATTTCACAGCAAACAACCTGCAGTGACATGTGGCTGAGACAGCTTTTCATGACTGTGAATGTGAATCACAGAATGTGAAGTTCATTTTTTTAATAGAGATAGAAAAAAGTAACTAATTTACAAAGTAGTAGCTGCATAAGGAGGCTCTTTCTACAAAAATTCTCTGAAACAGGTATTTTTAAAAAATCAATATGGTGCTTTCAAAAGACCCAGAGAAGGCATTTTAAAATAGTTTCACATTAACAGGAGGAGTTGTGTGCTTGAAATTAAAGTACCTACTCAGTGATGCCCAGTGGCAATTTCAATTCTTTACCTAAAATCTAACTCGTTATTAGAAACAGAATCATTCAAGCTGTTTTTACACTGTTAGTATTGTTGGCATTGTTGTTTGTTTTATGTGGTTTCTGGTAACAGATGCCTTCATAGAAGCATTATAGAAACACAGAATACCCTGAGCTGGAAGGGACCCACAAGGATCATTGAGTCCAACTCCTGGCCCTGCACAGGACAACCCCAAAAAATCCCACCTTGTGTCAGCATTGGCCAAATGCTTCTCCAACTGGCAGGCTTGGTGCAGCGCCATTATAATGAGGCAAAACAATGATGGAAATTTGAGTTCATTGAGTAGTTGCAGAGTTGAAAAAACAACAGAAGAAAGTTCCATCTTGGAATAAAAAATAACTTCAGAACAAGGTATTTTCATATAGAAAAAAATTTTCTTGGCGTAGTGTGTTTGACTTCAAAATGTTTCTACTGGCACGACTGAGGGGAACAGTGAACACCATAACAGTGTAGAAAAAGCGAGTGGGGGCACATCATCATATAATTATAGTTACATTTTAACATATTTGTAACTAAATTAAACACTTTTTAGAGGCACTGAAGGTTGATTTCCAAAGTGCTTTGCTGAAGTCAGTGTTGGTGACATGGGTCCATCATCAGTGTGTAGTGAACAGTCAGGAAGAATACCCCCTTACAAGATGAAAGAACAAGTTAAGTTTTTCCTTCACTGTGGTCTCAAAAAACTGAAAACCAAGCAATTATCTCCTCTGATTTCGTAACTGTGACCATAATAGCTCATGTCTCAATCCTCTGATTTGGTCCCATATCCAATCAATTCTCCCTGATATGCATCCTCTCACTTTAGGAAATAATACCATGCACACCTACTTAGTACAGAGTATTTACAGGCTATGCACAGGTTGCACAAAGAGGTTTTAAAATGCCAAGATTAGATTAGATTGTACACAGGCAAAGTATATGCTTACAACAGCTTATACACCGAATTTCTGGAGTATAAACATAGTTAACTGTGTGGTCTATTCAGTGGAAAAAGCTTATCTTGGTAACAGTAACTTTCTTTTTTCACTCTAGTTATATTCATTAGAAGAAACTGTTAGTGTAAAAACATTAACTAAATACCTGATATACCCAATTAGTGCCACATTGGCACAAATACAGTGAGAATTTATGTGAACCACTAAATACTGCTTATCACTGTGGAGGATGTTAACAACACTGAGAATTTTTAAAAAAATACAACTGAAAAGGTCAAGAGGAAGATAAAATCTCAACATATCAAGATGACAAAATCATTAATTAAACAGATGCTATTCATAATTCTTGACTTCTAAAAAGAATGATTTTGTGCAGTTTCCTGTCTTTTGTTTTTGTTTGATCCAGCACTAACAAGCTAAAATCACAGGCTGCTCTTTATATTAACCAAGAAAACTTTCAGGAATACTGATATGAATGAAAGTTTGCCAATTAGCAGAATCACTTTCTTTTTCACCAATCTTTTCACTTAGGAAAGTGAAACCACTGAAAATATCTTGACATCACTTGGGAGGTATTGCTGTCCCACACACAGATCCATGAAATGCTGTAAGATGTCTTGTACTTAAAAGCTCAACAACTAAACTGGCCGAAGGCAGAACAGTGATATTCCTGAGAGGCTTCTGCTGGCAGATCAAGCAAACAGTAACACCAGGTGATGTCTTACCATCAAGAAATGACAATACAGGTTTTTATACACTCTGTTAATTGACTTGGCTATTTCTTTTGTTTAGGATCACTCTAAAGTTGTAGCAAACACCTTATAAGAAAAATATCTTCAGAGAGAAGTCGCAGTATTCACTAAAGATTTACAAACATGGGAAATAGTGCAGATTCTGTGTTTGTTTTTTTTAATGTAACTTCTAAACTATGTGATTTATGACTTTTTGTCTTTTACCACAGAAGACATCAAAATCAGAAAGAGGAAGTAAGAGCAATTTCTCATAGGATATGTATCAAAATAAATCCTTTACCTGCACTAAACCATATTTTTCTCAACTTCCTTTTACTATATATATGTCATGCATATACACATATGTATATATGACTCTCTCTATATATTTGCACATATGAACTGAATTCATATATGAAAGCAATGGATCGTGTACCACAGAGCCACCCAAATCAGTGGCTGGGACTTCAATAATAGAAAAAATAAAATATAGAGGGATTTTTCCAAGTTCAAGGAGGAAAAAAAAGAAAAGGCTAAACTGTTGACAAGCAAACATATTTTGTACTCTGGAACACTGACTGAAGGTGGAGAAAGCAATTGCAGGCACAGTGTGAAGCAGAATTAAAATCTACATCTGTATTACCCTGAGACAAATCTGGGTTCTGAGGAACACAGGCCTTTCAACTACTGTCATCATTGATTTTACCAGTTTGTAGGATGAATGTCTGGGTTTATATATTGCTTTGTTTTTATTTTGTTATGTTCTGCACAATCAATACACATTAGTCTCTGTGTGACTTTGATAAGTCCAATCCTATGATATCAGAAACTTATCTATTGCTGTCTGATACCCCAAGTTAGGTTTCAGAATATAATATTTTCTATATAAAGAATGACAGAGTGCAAACTGAATGGAAACCAGCACAGCAGCCCTGATTAGCATGAGGACACAAAAGGCTATGTTATATACCAGTCTTAGATGATGAAATACTAATTTTAACTGTACTTCTGTATTTTTAAACTGCTTAGTTAGTATTACTTAATTTGGAAGATGTTAAGAATCCCCAGGGGATATTCAATATGCATTATACATAAAACATACACATATATAGACATTTATATATTGAACACACCTATTTTTAGAATTCGATACATTTTTTTTTTTGATCTATATTTATGGATGTAAAATATTGAAAACCAGAAACATTTGCAGGCACTCAACATGCATTCAAAACCTGTGAGGAATTTCTCTGAGCAATGCTGTTGCATAGTAACTAACTCCTCAAGTGTTTTCTTATTTGAAACTGAAACCCTATTCTTAGAGTCATTATAGAATCATAGAATTATTTGGGTTGGAAGGGACCTCAAAAATCATCTCGTTCCACCCTCCTATAAACTGAGTCAGGAAGTTATCAAAGTGCTTCTGAAACTACTTTTTCAAGACTTGTTTTTTCCACACGAGGAAACTAAGCACTCCACTCAGATCAGTGTTAATTAAAAAGAGAGAATACTGTATCTGCTGCATAAGGAACTAGGTAGTTCCTCAGCAGAGGGTTTTGTCTCAAACAATGAGGACAGTAATAAATGTATCAGTAGGACTGCCAGGCTGTCATATCTTACTCTCTTTAGTACTCACTTGTATTTTGTCATCAGCTGTTCTCTGTATTCTGGTGTGGAACTGTAGCACGCTATTTTTGCACACTGCTAGCATTTGCCAGGCTTCACCCCAGGAAATATAGCTGCTCCCCAGGGTGATATTTTGCTGCAAGACATTAGCTTTATAACAGTGATTGTGTGTCCGACACAAAGGTAGAGGGCAATAAAAAGAGAGACTGCTGAGCATATTTTGTAATTTACTTGTTGTGCTTCTTATAGTGATAAATTCCCCAAAACTCCAGCTTGGGCACCCTCAAGGTCATCATTCATTGTTCTATTTTCAGCCCCAAAATCAAACAATTACACACGTTCAGACATTAAACGTATTTTCTCGACATACTGTGGCAGGCATCGCTGAGAGTTTCAGCCTGCAGGCAGAAGCAATGCAGGCAGAAGCAAACACAGGTGATGGCTGACATGAGTTCCACACAGACAGCTACACCCTGAGCGCTCAGTGGGCCTCAGTAGGACAGCAGCTGCCAGGTTGTCCCCTGAGAGAGAGCAGGTGGTGACCTACATATGAACCGTTTCTTGTTGCTTTGGGGTTCACTGATTTCAGTTCTCAGTAGTCACAGCTCAAACCTCAGCTGTGCAGCTGAAACATGAGCCTCCTGTGCTGCACCCCATGGTGGGATGAACTGCCTTCCTCCCTCTGAGAGGAGACCTCACCTGGTGGGGAGGTAGACAGAAAGAGGAGTGGCTGAAGGGTGGAATATGGTGTAGTTGGACTAAGGGGATTGGACACAAAGCTAATGAAATGTTAATTACAATACTGGTTACTGCTTCATTATTATAACAGTGGTACTACAAGCCAGTCACCTGGATTCACTGGGAAACCTCCACAGCTGGAGGTTTGAACAAGCTGTATAGTTAGGTGTTCCTAAAAGCAAATGTACATGTGCATGTACTGATAGGAATAACGGTGACCACAGTTTCCTTGTACAACTTTAGAGTTGATGCAGAATTTTGGGAGTAATTTGAATTATTTTACTCATCTCTCTATTAAAGCTAGACTAGTTATAGTTCTCAGAATTGTTTCCCACTTGATGTGAAATAAAGTTCTGTCTGGCATTAAGATTATATGTGATTGTTGTTTGATTACTGTTAGCAATTAATTATTTTGAATGCACTCTATTTATCTGTATTTTAAATTTTGGATTTTTTACAAATCTTCACTGAAGCTTCTTGCACTTCCTGGTGATTGTAACTCTGTAGACACCTGTCTGCTTAGTATTTCTATGTAAAACCACCCCTGCTGGAGATATTGTGAAAAAGAACACAAGAGGCACAGAACTACAGTGAAATGCAGTTCATTTAAATAACAAACAGAAGGGCTATAATAGCCCTGTATTTTAAAACCATCTTTTACAATAGACAGGCTAAACTATTTTATGAATTCACAGAAAAAAGCAGTGAATTTTTTGAACACAGATAGGCTTTTGCAGGTGTTACAATGCTTTGCAGAACTAAGACTACTTAATTTTTAGCTGTTTACTAAAATTGCTGGAATCTGCTGATGAACTGCAGACTTATGTAATACCCAGAGTAGCAGCACTTCATATTATATTTACCAGACAAGATCAATTTGCTGCAGAGTAAACATTAGCAAGAAAACAGAGCAGTTTATGACGTAAATAGATGTGATGCCTGAAGCTGCTCCTTCTACTAATTTATACTCCTACTCAGCTTACAATATAATCTGTTCTGGGATAAATGAGAACTAAGGGTGTGGAGTGCTCATGGTGGTGGTGGGAAATTTGTATGTTCAAAGCTGCAGTAAGTTATCTCACATAGCAGGAATCCAACATCAGAAAGCAAATTCTCATTTCAGAAAAGTTGAATAAATAGTATATACTACCCTTCCTGAAATACAGTAATTAATATTTTGGATTCAAGTCAAATGTACTTTCAGATTAATTTTGATGTCTTATATCAATAGTATGAGTGTATACTACACAGAAAATGTGCTTTTGCCAAACAAATAATCCTATTCAGGGATGGAATAGTCACTGTGACACCATTTTTTCAGTGTACCATCCAGGCAGAAAATGCAAGGAACAAGAGGTAATGTCATAAAGTAGTGATGGTCCTTTAAGATAGTTCTCAGTTTTAATGTTATAGAATGAACTCTGGCCATGTAGTCGGAAAAAAATAAGCAACATTCTCAAAGATTTTGAATGACATTTGGAACACAATAAATGCTATAATTAGGTCAGCCTGACAGACTAATATTAAGAAATGTTTCAGAATTATCCTCTGCTTTCTTAAAGCTTTTACTAAAGCTTGGATCCAAGTATGCATCATATGTGTTAAAATAAAAGGCTGGAAAGACAATATATAATTTTCAGCAAATTATGATAGTGTTTTTTCTAAAGCTGCTAAAGTGAAATATCAGATTTTAAAAAAAATATTTTCCAGTTACAGATCTTAAATGAACAGTAATCAATCTAATGTCATCTTCCCTAAAATCACTGGACAATTTTACAGTCATGTCTGATGTGATGACTCAATTATGAGTTAACATGCTCATTTTGAAACTCAGCTTGGTAAGCATTTTGGAGTTCATAGCTATGTGTGGGTGTATTTATGATATATTGCTCCTTCATGCATAAATAAAATGAAAGAGAGCTCTGATGTGAAGGAGCACTGCAAGGCTTCCTACTCACTTAAGGTAAACTAACAATAATGAATGAGCAATAGCTTGAAACAAGTTCATATTGACCTCACCTGATCCACTAACTGGGAGTAGAGATCATAGCAATTGTCAAAGATGTATCTGTAAGTTGAGTCCAGGCAGGCTCTTACACAATCTTTCACCACAGTACTGGCTCGAGGTGGGCTCTGCAATTCCAGGACCTAATAAAACATTTGGCAAATGGCAGAATGGCAGAATTACATCGAAAACAGAAAATCCCATCATCGAATGAAGTTCTGTCGTACAGGATGAAAAGAACTGAAATATCATAAAATAAAAAAAAATTGTGTTGACCCAGGAAGATCTTAGTTCAGATGCATTAAAAGACATACTTAAGTTAGGCAAGCAGATTGTATTTCTAAGTTTTATTTGAATGAAATGACTCATATGTTGAAAGAGGTCAAAGGGTTTACACCTTTACATCTTAGGGTTTACATCCTGAAATTCTTTGATTATTTATGAAATAATTAAACCATATAATTACGTGCTTTCCTTTGAATATCAGCCAAATAGCACTTTAATTTTTATAGCAAAGGGTTCAGCTTTTCCCTCCATTTTAGGATACATTAATTTCAACTTTAACTTAAGGGATTATTTTAATTCTCTTTATGTAGTGCCTAATGCAATAAAATCACATGCTTTTGCAACAAATGTTGTTTTGTGTTTCTGTTTTTTCATTCAGTAACATTATGTGTATCATTCCATTCCAAAATATTTCAGTACTTGATCACTTAGATAGAGCCTTTGGAGTTACTAAGGCAAATAGAGTTATCAGACCTATTTTGCTGTTTGACTTGTGATTTTATGATATTACTAAGAAAACATTATTCTATATTACACATGTTCCTAAGGAGTTTAAATGAGATTGCTTTATGTGATTTGATTTTAAAGTAATTAAAAAGATGTTTGTTTTCTTCAGGAGATGTAACAATAATAGTTAAAAAAAAGAAAATACGGTTCTTTATTTTTTTAAACAATGGTTTTTATCACATTGTTGATACAAAGTACGAATAAAATTACTTTCCTTCAATGATCATCAGTAACCTGAAAGATTTAAATTAAAAAGGAAGGCGATTGATTGATTAACAGTATCAACTAGAGTATGACTGTCCTGGAAAATAAAAGGTAACCGCTTTTAATTATTTTTAAAAATTATTATTATTTTTAATTTGGAGTCATTTTGCAAATAAAGGACAATACCTTCATCCGAAAAAAAGTAATGCTGGTAAGCAGGTCCACAGTTGATTTCAGATCCTGGAGTCTTTCAGAATTGCTGGCAGGAAAATTATCCTGGTGAATCAGGAAGAGAGGAAGAGTGCAAAATTTTAGTTACAGGTAAGATCCTTGAACAATTAGTTAAAAACCCTCTAGAAAAACTAAGATGCTGCTTGGAAGGATTAGAGATGTTCCCATGTTACCTGAATTCTGCCTGTGAGGAAGTCAGGGATGAATATCCCTTTGACATGAGTAGGAACACTTTTGATAATGCTCCTGTATTTGTAGTATCAGTGATTCAAAATATTGTTATATTTCCAAAACATGAATGGAGGAAAAAAATACTACAAAAAGACTGGAAACTGTTGCTAATTTAAATAACTTCAGAGTTCTTCATGGCACATACCTCACTTGTGGGCATAAATGCAGTAGTGATCTTAATGAAGAAATAATACATGTAATTTTTGCTATGATCTCTGGGTTAACAGACTGATGGGTAGCAGTGTTGTTTAAATGGGTTCCCACTAATGCAACATGGGCCAAACAGCCTCATGCTACAATATTATCTGGATAGCATTCCTCAAAATTAAAAGGTATTGCAATAAATATTGCTGCATGAAGGACACGGTCTTAAAAACTGAGTATGTGCAACTTCTCCCTCTAATGCCGTTAAATATTCCATTTCTCCTCCAGTTTTAGAAAGCAGGCCAGATGAACAGAGAAATCCTTGACTTGGAGGTTGTCATTCCTAGAAGCTCAGAGAGCCATAGCTGATGGAGCCCTAACTGCTCCTGTGTTGTCCAGAAGTTTCCTGGTGCAGTGGAAATGAAAAGGAGAGGGGTTCAGAACCATGTGGGACCCGGCAGGTATCCAGTGCACGCTGTCCTTGGGAGCACAGCTCAGTGGAAAGAGATTCCACGAGGCAAAGATAAAACTGAAATTCCTATCACGTAGAAAAATGCAAAGATGAGATTTTTCCAACATTACTGGGATCTTAAGGTGGACGTTGTGGCAAAGATGTCACTTTCTCAAATAAACCCAGCAGGAACTGCACTTTGCAATACCTGAGTCAGTGAAGGTAATTCCCAGATGAATTAACCTTATTATAGACTAGTTATAGACTAACTTAATTGAAGTTGAATCATACTCTATCTTGAATATCTGCTCATCCCTTGACCCGTTCTTACCTTTTGGAAAAAAAATACTAAGTTTTTTCTTTCTTTTTTTTCTTTTTTCTTAAATTTTGTAATTTTTTTTTCCACAGAATTTGGGATCTCATGTTAGCTCTAGATAGAATACATTATACATACCCTGTATTTGGATAAATCAATCCTCAGAGAATTGTGCAATTGATCCAGCAGTTTTATGAACTTTTCTCTCTGGGAAAAGAAAACAAGAATAGATTTTGCAGGTTCCTGTAGCTGGTGGGGTTTCAGAAAGCTGCTTTTCACTTTTAACTTATTTGAAAATCAGTTTGCTTTCCACTGTTTCATATATAAATGCTGGTTTGAAATATCTGTGTTTCAAGGCCAGGCAATGCATCTTTTTTCACCTGATTTTCCCTTTCTGTCTATATTGAGATTTACCTGGTATGCATTAAATTGCAGCTGTGCAATACATTACTGAGGTAACAGGGACCATCTGATGCTGTATTTCCTTTTCTTATATTTGCCTCACAGTTGCTTACACTCTTGAAGAAAGCACTTTCCCCTCCCTTTAATGAGTAAGAAATGATGCTCATTTACAGCAGGATCCGGCATAAAAGTATGACTGAAAATTATACTTCAGAAACAATGACTTTTGTAGAAATAAGCTAAGTAATACTAATACTGTGCCATTACAGTTTTCCCTTTCAAATGTGGAGATTAACTTGTTATCATGATAGATGAAGGTGCAGTGAAAATACTTTGCTGTGAGATATCCAGGTGAGTTGTAAGTAATACTAATGAGAGTTTCTAATTACCACGTTAGAACACCTTCCATAGTCTGCTGCACAAAACTGCGCAGAAATCCTGATCAGCCCATGTGAAAGCAGCAGACTTCTGGAAGTAGCAAGACCTGATACCTCTCAGGATGCACTGATTGTACCCACACCATCCCCCAAATACGATCGGCAGTAATTTCAAAATAGTCTTTGTGCACTGTCCCTCATCAGCGGAGTACTAACCTACACCAAGAGCCACTAATTTGGCACAGTTCCCTTAAGGGATCAATCATAAGGGAACTTTTTGTCATGTTATAGATCTGTACTGAGATATTCAGTCAGCCAAATCATTCCCAGCTGTAGCCTGAGGACTTGAATTTGAGATGTTCTTTTTGATGAATGATGTGCAGCTATTCACTAAAAAATGCCTTTTTACTCAAGAGAGGAAAATAATCTAATATTTTGCCTATAAGTCAATTGTCTGAAAAAAGAGCTCCAAATCTCTATTAGTGATGCTTACTACTCTTTTTCCACCCATCTGTTGAACTATGAATTGGATTGGAATTGCGTCAGTTAAACTGGCATTAACATCAGAGAAAGGACTTAATCTCTGTCCAATCTGAGGATAAAAGTAGTTCTGATCATTAGAAAAATGGGGGGGGGGGGGAAAGGATAAAAACAATCCAGCAGAAACATTATAAATTTCAAAAGTTACATCAAACTCAAAGGTCTAATAGGGCTTGAACATTGAAAGAGAAGCCTGGTTTCAACAGCGGTGCAGAGTCATTCCATAAAAACCCATCAATCAGCTTTAAAAGGGAAACCTGAGTAAGAACAAAGAAATACTGTACTGTCATGGTAATACAATAATTGAATCACAAATGTTCTAATATCGATTTTTCACCATAAAATGTTTTCCTTTAGAGTGAAGGAGCCAGGTTAATATTCCTCTTTCAAAGCAAATCTCTAGCAGGAGGAGATAAGCTTCCAGTTCAAGAACAAGCTGTCTCCAAACTAAAGACCCAACCCTGGGTAAATTTATATGTGGGCACTTCCACCAGACTGAACATTTAAAAGAAAAATCAACTGATATTGAGAGTAAGTATTTCTCTAAAAGTTACTCTGTGGACTTGAAAATGAGGATTTAATGGAATTCTTAAAAAAAAAAATTTTGTACTGACTTATGACATCCCTTAAATTTCAAAATATATTGTCAATACTACTCTAGGAGCATTTAGAATTAACTGTTGGACTATTTATGGCTATAAGCAGTAGCATCAGATCCAAAGTATATTCAGAATTCAATAATAATAATAGAAATCAATCTTTAGTGTGTTTACTACACAAAGTGAATTTAGGGACATAAGTTGTATCTCAAAAGTTCAGGAAATACAAACTACTGTTTAGTTTCAGGTATTTAAGGCCCTGTATATAAAAATATGCAGGAATGCTATACTTAATACACTGTTACAATCCAACATTTTTTTTAGCATCCAGAGCAAACATTCTTTGTTAAACTGAAAATCTACATATTTTTCCAGGCAGAAATTGCATTTATTTACCGATGATAATCTGATAACTATGTTTCTGACTTCTGATGGGAAGCCAAAAGCAAAACCAAAACTAAATCTTTCTTAGTTTACTCATCCAAATGCATAATTTCATAATGTTGTCTTGAAAATCCTAAAATTCATAATGTCTCTATTATTCTAATACTGGAGAAGGGTACTAGTACCTCTATCACTACTTCAAACAACTGTAATTTGTGTTTAATAAATTTCAATTCTGACTAATATTTTATTTCATGTCATTTAGTGGTATTTTATGAAAACCATTAAATCAAAAATACCTTTGATATCAGCCTTAAAAAAAAAAAAAAAAAAAAAAAAAAAAAAAAAAAAAAAAAAAAAAAAAAAAAAAAAAAAAAAAAAAAAAAAAAAAAAAAAAAAAAAAAAAAAAAAAAAAGAAGAAGACTAGAATTCTGTTAAAAAAGAAAGTTTACTTACCCCAAAGTTAGTAGCGGCAAAGCGATCTGAGGCGGATACATTTGTTGCTGCTGTGGTATGAGCATAGAAAGCGTTTATATTGGCCAACAATGTGCTCATAACTGCTGGAACACCAGGGCACATATATTTAGAAGACAGACAAGAAAAGTGCCTGCAAGTCAAACAAACCAACAGTTGTTAAAGAGGGCAAGGAATCCTGGATTTATGTTCTCTCACCACAATGTCTTTTCAGCTCCAACGATGTAACGTTCAAGCTACCTCATGGAAAATTGTGCAGATGCACATGAGGAAAATCCAGACACGTCTGATGTGATTGCTGCTTGCTGCACAAAATCAGCTGCTGCTGATATTTTCAAACTGAACACATGAAATTCACATTTTGCTCTTACCCTTTTAATCCTAAATGAAAAACCATGATTTAACTATCTCAATTACTACTAAGCAAAATGTTCATTATTAACAAAAACTTAAAACCTAAAAAAACTTATAAATATAAAAAGCCACAGAGATCTACAGCAGAAAAGGTTTTCATTGTTGCCAACAAAAAGACTCAGGCATTTTAGTGTGGCTTTTATTTAAGACTACATTATGGATGAAAGCAACTTTGGGTCCACTTTGATTTCATTTAGGCCATAACTGAAACTGTTCCACTTTGATTCAGGCCAGTAAAATTTAGGTAATCAGCCTGTTAAACCTAAAGCAGCCCAAACTAGAGTTGCAATGTAGCAGCACTGTTTACTTGTTTAACACAGCAGGAGAGGCCTGGTTGTAGCATACAAAGAGTTTATAACCTAAGAAAACATGAGAGATATAAGATGGATGAAAGATTTAACACATGAGGAGAGCGAACATCATCACTGAAAACATAAATTCCTAATTTCTAAACCTATAGTTACGCTGAACTGGGAGGGAGATAGAGGGGTAGAGAGTAAATGTATATAGATAGGAAAGAGAATGAGGGGGATTAGGCAGAGAAGATGATGGTGAAAATCAGTGTACAGTCCTACAGAAACAGATGAAGAAACTCCAGTCACTCTGGAGCTCTCTGTATGACTGAAGGTCCTGATTTGGCCACATGCTCCTCTTAGCTGGAGACTCTGGCTCCTCTCTCGTTTCTCCTCAGGAGCATAAGGCAGAGCAGTGTGCTGGGCCTGAACCACCTGGGCACCAGTGCCCTTCCAAGAGAAAAATTAACACAAGGTACGACTGCTGTCACTGCCCATATCGTCTTTCAAGACATGGTTCAAGATTATTTTCATCTTGTATTCAGATTCATGTTCGTAAAGCTATAAAAAATGAGCTCTTCATACTTTCTTCCAAGCCTGTACACAACTCACTCTTACCTGCATTATTCTTTCTGATACCTGCTCATTTTCTCAGCAGTCCTTTAAATTGCTTCAATCTGCTATTGTGTCTGACCCTGTTAAATATATTCCTGCTTTCTGATATTCCAGGGCTGCAGAAACTTCTGCTGAAGAGACAACACTATCTTTCGTGGGGTCTCCAATGTCACTGACTTTGTATATTTGCAGATGCCTTAAGTGGATTTGTAGATGCCTTTTTCATAACCCTTTGGGTAATCTGCAATTTCCTATCTACCAAACAACTCTTGTTCCATTAGTCTCTAGATTTAAAAGGGAAATTAGGGGGAATGGAGTGAGTCGGAAGGCAGCATCACGTAAAAGTATTTCTTGCTTCTGCTTTTCCAGTACTCCTGTCTCAGTTCACAGATTTCTACTACAGACGCCCACCTACAGATTCAGAAATGGGCCTAAAAAATGCCCTGGGCTGTCAGTCACTCACAGCACTACAAACCAAGCACTCTCTAGCACTTTCATTTAGTTGGCAAAGGAGACATCTCAATTGTAGTTTACTTCAGAAATCTGTGTCAGGTCACAGATGTGTCAAAAAAAAAAAATTCTCAGACTCCCCAAGGGCCGAGGCTCAGGATTCAGGCTTCATTAGTGCACCTGATATCCATTCCATTCCTACATATCAGAAGCATGCACCATAAAATTACTGACCAAACTGCTCTCCTCAAGAACCTTAGTCAAATCTGGGAAAAGATCTGAAATAGAATCAGCTGCTTGCAGTAAAGTAAATGTGATGCTGAACACATCCACCTCTCACGACAGTTCCATGATCACCGTGGTTAACACAGGATCAAAGTTGAAGTGCTCTAGACTGCAAGTGTGTTTTAATTACCAGTGAGTGCTCAAAACATGTGTGTCATCTATAAACGAAAGTATTTTTCTATTTATTTTTCCTATAAAAAAAAAAGCACAGGAGATGGGTGCCAACTGATCCTGTAATTGAAAGGTAATTGGCAGGAAAACTTCTTAAATGGTAATTTTCTAAAATGGTAATTTTCTAACTCTTCAGCATTTTACTCAAGATAAATCCAGTTATAATTTAAACTATAATTCCCAAGAAAAAACCCCAAGTAATTAATTATGCATGTACAAATACCTAAAGAAAATCCCATCACATATTCATGTTTTGCTACTTTATAGTATCATCCAAAATCTCTGACGTATTAAAGAGAATCTAAGGCTACAGTCCTCGTATGTGTGGTCTCTGTATTTGCAGCCTTTCTAGGCCAAGCCAGGTGGGCTTTCTCTAGCATTAGACTCTCTTTAAAGTATTTTCAAGCTCAGTTTATATATCACAGTCTTGCATCAATGTAGTGATATATACTGACACTTAAAATTTATATCATGGTAGGGATGTTCAAAATGCTTTGCAAGCATTTCTCAGCCTTCCTGTAAGGTTGATCTGTAAGTTCTATTATCTCTGTTTTAGAAAACAGAGAAACTGCTCAAATCTACACAGAAATCAATCACTTGGGCCAGGACCAGAGCTCAGCATTCCCAGCTACGTGCTCATAGGATAATATTACCAAACCTTTCATTCATTGCCAGTATTTTCCAGAAGTACTTTGAAATACCACCATGTGAACACATCACAGCTCTCTACCCTTTAGGAGACCTTTTCATTATATATCACATGTTTTCTCTCAGGTAGAAGAATAATAATTTCCTTTCTAATAAAATACAATAGTGATGCCAGGTGATCCTCACTACTAAAGATAATCTTCAAAGTTAATGGAAATCTCTCCTGATATATTAATCACATGAATTTTGAGAAATATAAGTACAAATGAGCAGAATTATTTTTCAAAAAAATGACATAGAAATAACGACCATATACTTACAGAGATGACCTTTAATTTCCAAAAATCTTCTAGTGGACCTAAAGGCCTTTAGTGTACGAGTAACCCCAATCTGGAGATAAGAAGGCACTACTAACCTCACTGGCATTAGAGTCATCCCTATAATACATGCTCTGCTGTGAGAGCGGGCAGGCAACAGGGGCAGGCAACAGCAGCCCCATGTGAGAAGCCTTTGAGATTGTGCCCTTTGTCTTCAGCAAATATGACAGACCATGGAAAAACAGTTCCAGTCAGCATTTTAAGTTTGGCACGGTGTCTTCTGCAGGTTCTTCCAACCATTTCACACTGAGCTACCCATGGCTTGTGTTGAACTCTTATATTTAAAATTGACCCAGATTGCACAAATTTGTGGTGAGGAAAATTTAAATCTCTTAATGTAATTTGTTTATGTCCTTACTGTATCACTGCACCATTTCACCTGTGTTAGTGAAAATGATGATAAAGTATGAAGCAACAGGCTTTTGTTTCTCTCTTTTGTTTAATTAACATCTCTCAAGTTCACAGAACCTATTAACTGTATCACATGCAATATGGGTCATGACTCTGAGAGTGCTGGTAACTCAGGTTATCAGCCACCTGCAAGCCACCTGGCTTTCTTCTGCTTGCTAACAAATATAAATCAAAGGGAACCCCCTTCCTTGTTTTTATAGGTCTTTGAAAAGAGTAGCAAATAACATGAGTTATTAACAATTTCCAGTGTGCACAAGATGTCAGAGCAAACACTGCTAAGTCCCACACATCTTAGAGTAAGATTGCATTGTTTAAGCTAGAGCCAGGTCTAAAACCAGGCCTGTTTGCTCCACCTTTCTTACTGTGCAATTTCTTGACTAACATGCAGTGCTTGTGATTCTTCCAGTACTTCTGCCACTGCGAATTGTTGAAGAAAGAAGGCAAATTGACGTGCTGTACTCAGCAAGCAAATTCCATCAATAAAAAATTAGTTTAATGGGTGATTTGTGTGCTTTTTGCAATGCTGCCACGTTAATTGAAGACTAGCATGAGACCAAGATGACATAGTTAATGTCCATTAACCTGCTGGAACGAGAGCTATGTCGCTGATTGAGGAGCATTAGGTTCTACCTGTGGTGAGTCTTGCCAGTAAGAAGCAAAGATCTTAGAGCTTTTAATGCACTTGACTCCATTACACAGTAAATCCAGGTTGCTGATGTTATGTATAATTTCAGTGTCTAGTCAAACACTGTTTCAATACGTGCTCTGATTTTTTGCTTTTTAAAGGGAAATAAATTACATTGAAAAATAAGAGAAAAAAAGTTATTTTTTCTTGATGGTGGAGAAGTGGCTTAATATACGTAGGTAAATAACGTGTCAGTATGATTCCTACAAGACACTGAATTTACAGCAGAAATTGCCATCAATCACCACAGTCACCAAAATAAAGGCCTGCCAGATCACTGAGCTGCTTTTCTGCTTCTTCCCCAGTTTTCTATGATAACTATTTTCTCTCCTATCGTCTCACACATATATGCTTCTAGTTCTGGGAGTTACACATACTATTCCTGTAGCTAACAGCAACCAAAACCAAACCAAACCAAAACGAACCTTTTCTGAGCCATATAAGAATGGTTGTAATTGTCTTTCATTTCTTCTCCTAACACAGACTCCATGATGAGTGGAAGAATATAACAATCATAAAAAAGAAGAGTGGATTATGGAATCTGGTCAAGATTTCAATGAACAGTAATTACTGCAACTAAAACAGACTCTTTGTTGTACTTTGGCTTTGGGTCAATGATTGTTTTTCTATTCACATGAATTCCACATCTGGTGACTTATAAACAGATTTCCTTGCTTAGGAACTGGGCAGTTGTAATCTGTATCTTGAGAGCAAGACACCCTTTCTAATTGAGCATCTTTAGTGAAAAACTGTTTGCATTTATTCTCATAGAAATGTGGATGCCTCTATCTCCAGCAACAGGTGCAATCAAGCTTGAATTCATTCTCTTTTAAGTTTAATGAGAAAGGTCTCACTGGGGACAATGACTAAGAGCAGACAAGTAGCCACCTTTGTGATATCTTTTGGGTTGATATCCACATTCCAGTATGAATATACTCAATGTATTTGGAAGATCAGGAGTATATTTTTGAAACGTTGTTTCTTTGCTCTAAAGGAATAAATATAAATAAATACCGAGAGCCAGAAACAAATCATCAGGGTTTACTAAGAGGATCACAATGACAAAGCCACCGGCATGAACCAGCAGTGACAGACAAGTGGTGTTGTTTATCGCCGCAGTGGAAGAGGATGCTAAATTGTTCTAGACAGGGGTACTTTAGGGAAGCTTAATCAGATTTATGTTGTGTTCAGAAATGCAGAATGGCATATGTTCCTATTGCAGCATATGCCATCTACCCATACTTAAAAGGGTCAAGACTGACTATCATTAAGTGGAACTGAAGCTTTATGAAACAGCTAATTTTGAAACAAATACCAACACTAAAAAGTACATTTAGATAAAAAGAGCATCTCATTAACAACAGCCTAAAACTCATGTGAGTCTGATAAAGCGCGTGTGGATGCTCTTGGGGGTCTGCATCATGGAGTATTAAAGCATAGTCAGTTTTTCATTTACAAATGTAAACATTTTAATTTGCAATGTTATCCTGAGACATGCAGTAGAAGTACTCTGCAACCAGATCCTCGAGCAAAGAATGCTTACACAATATTCCTTTGGGCAAAGTGATTACATTCAAATTCCCTCTCTGATGTATGGTAGAAAATTGCTTTTGTTTTAGTAGGAGCTCTTCATTACCAAGAATCTGATGATTCTATTTTCCAAATCAAGTTACTGTACATATTCTTCCAGCCACTGAAATTGTTCCAGAAGAAAAAGGTGATCTCATAAAAAGAAGTAAAACCAGCAGATAATAGTCCAAAAGAAAATTCCTCATGACGGATCTATTTTTTTCACTTCTCCCCAAAGTCTGAATGTTCTGAGACGTCCGCAGGTGAATCAGCAAAATGATGTATATGAATATGTATTCTTCTCCAGGTATTATTTGAGATTACATTCATTACTGATTTTATTCCTAACTTACACAGGATGAGGCCTTTACCTCAAAAATGGAGGGCTCACTATTAACAAGCAACATTTAAAAGGACGTGGGTATGGGAGCAGTGAAATCTTAGCTTTTATTTCCTGTGAGTACCAGTATTGAATTAACTTTCTTATTATACCTGCCCTCAAATACTTTATTTGCAGTCACCAACAGGAAGGAAATTTGGTGGAAAAGGCATAGAAGAAAGCAAGAACAAAAAGAGGACAAGGCAAAGTAGGTCGTTTAACTTAAAATGACTTGGTTAGAATTTCTGAGTAAGGATTCCTGAAAAAAGTGTTGCAGTACTTGCCCAGCTCTATGTTAGTTGTTCAGAGTAAATTTACTTCCTTTTCATGAATATCTTTATGTTATGTTATTTACTGAGATAAAAATTAAGCATCTTCTTTCTAAATGAAAAATGTCTTCTTTATATGAAAACATAATTTGTTCATTTCTAACACTGGAAGCGAAAATGTTTTTCAAATACATCAGTTACATTGCTATTTTTGCAATGTTGACTTTTGCAACATTCGAACTTCTAAAACCAGTTTCAAACTTTTTCTGACAAATTTCACATTACTGGTATACATCAAGAGATGAAGAAAAAAGCAACTTCAAAATAATTTTGCAGTTCAGAAAGTCCATCCGAAATACTGGCGTGTGGTATTGACATAACCAACTAATGGGCTATAGTTAAGAGGAAACACTAATCAAGATCAGTCCTTTATTTCTTAATGCAAACCAGTAAAAACAGCCCTCTGTTGGCATTAATAGCTCTTGAGAATTCATCTTTCATCAAACCTTGAATTCATTTTGATACACACAGCAGGAACAGCACTATCATTATTTTTGTAAAAACACCATGCCATTTTAAATCAAGTTCTAAAACTATAATACTGTGCTAGTTAATAAGAGATATAACTTAATCAAGATGTAAAAACATACATGGCTAAAGAGAAGTTAAACATGCAAACAAAAATATTCAGGAAACTCAATGCATGAGTTCCTCCATATATAGTTAAGATATATTATCCCACACAGGAACTGTCAAGCTTAATAAATTATTCTGTGCAATGTTGTGTGAGGTCCTTGAAGGAAAAGCAATAAAATGTATATATTACAAAGACATCCTCTGCCTTTTTACTAGATGTACAGTACAATAATTCGAAGAGAGCTACATAAAGTGAAAAACACGCTCATTGCAGTAGCAGATGGTGTCATTATATGCTGCAATAAAAAGAAGACTTCATATGTTTTTTTTCCTTCATACTTATTATAATACTTTTCAGGAGGTAAAGAGACAGAGAAAATGAGAGATGTTCTGATTCAAAATTCCATAATATCAGCCTTCTGTAAGAAAAAAAAATTCTTTATTTCTTCTTTAGAGAACTCATTTGATGAGTCCTCCTCCTCTCCAGCAGGAGCAGAGTATAGTCCTTTTCATCAGAAAACTTTTTACTGGGCAATTGGGAATACATGATGGGGCTCTCATGTCTCCAGGCCTCTAAGCCAAATGGTGCTGTGTTCTAAAGTGTTCAGACAGCTACTCAGAACGAACAATGTAGCAACAGGTTTCAATACTGTCAAATATAGTTTGCATTTATTATTTACATATACTATGGAAGCTCCCTACAGACCTTGCTGCTGTTCTATGATGATTTCTCCACTCCTGGAAAAGAGTAGAGAGGTTGTGAATCCCTGTTCTACCACCCCAGTCCCATCTGGAGCACTGGAAGTCTTTCTGAGCTCTGCTATATATGAGTATCATAAGGATTAAGAAATGCATTAGCACTAATACCGGTAACAGCTCATAAAATGCTTATAATATATCTTAATTCCCCTGCAGATGAGAAACACTTCAATGAGAATCAAATGGACGAAAATGATTACAAAAATTTAAATCAGGAATGGAAGAGAGATGGAGAATGAAAGCATGAAGCCTTGGAACTCATCGCTTCCCTCAGATTCTTGACAGCAGAGCAGAAAAGCAGACGTGCCAACACTTACGTCATAGCTTGATAAATGTATTCAATTCCATAGCGCATTGCAAATTCATCCACGATTTCCTGGGCAGCATCATCAAAGTACACCTTCCAGGCCTCATCGCCTTTCACCTCAGGGATTTTCACCACCCCGTTAGATTTAACTTCCGTCAAGTAATGGAACAGATTCTAAAGGTAAAAAACGTTTCAAATAGGGAATTTTGGCTTTTAAGTAGAATCTGCAAATACATCATATATCTAGTCATCAATACGTTAATTGCCAGTTCTTTTTTTTTTTTTTATTGTTTATTTTTCTGAAGACTGGCACAAACTACTCAGCAGGCTTGTGATTCAGAGCATTGCTCTGTCTGCTTGATATGAAGTCCTGACAGTTAACTGGCACAGATAGACTGCAACATAAAATAGTGCAGAAACTTATCTAATAATTGCCCTTGTTAATGAATGACATGGTGATGTTGTAACACTTACTATGTAGTGTTTCAAATTTATTTGGCTCTGTGACCAATCCATTTCAAATTCATTATTTGAGACCTGTGAGTTACAGGAAGATAACAGGAATATGGCAGATGCCTCTCAAGTAGTGCAAGGGGTGCAATAAAATTCAGGCTTGGTAACCTTGGGAGTAAAGCTAACTGAGCAGCCAGTTTTATTTCCTATTTTCAATGATTAAAAAAAAAAACAAAAACAAAACCAAAAACAAACTAAAACTTTGAAATACTTTCAGTTTTTCTAATTAGCCCTTAACTGCCTCTTAAAGGATTATCTTAAAGCAATGGCAGGTCAAAATCTATCAGCACAAATGCCCTGAATATCCAGTTGTATAAATGGTGAACAAGAGTGTGGATACACCCTAGTGTTGAACTTTCAGCCATATATGGGTTATCAGCTTTCACAAACTGATTGCATTTTCAGACCAGAATTTCTGCATGTGTCTCTGTTTGAGGGAAGAGGAACCAATTACAAGGGAAATCTTTCAGAAGACACACTGGTTTGTCAGTGATGATTTTTTTCCAATGTTGACAAAAGCAATCTATATGACAGGAAAATTAAATTTGATATTGTCTGCGGTTCTCCTGCCTTTTCTCACTCTCTCCAAGATACGAATTAATGTAGAAGGAAATAAATCCTTCAGAGATAATAGCTCTATTTGTGTAATATATTGAAATGTTTGTACATTCCTGACATCAGCAAGCATGTATGGAGCACCAAAGTGCTAAATCAAAACACAGTACAGGGAGAGCTTATCTGGCTCAATCTCTTATTTTTCTAACACCTACTGGCAGGAATGATCTGTTGGTCTTACATTGCTTCTGAACCTGATATGCCATCAGCAGTACAGAATGGGGAATCTAAAATAAACTTGTCCTGAGGTATGGCAGCAGTTCTTTGTTACAGTGTTCTAATGCTCTGTAGCTTTTTTTCCTTATCCTTGCAACAACACAATAGTCATTTCTGTAGAGTATACTTTAACTTCTGCTACATACCTCATGTAGACAGGTGTACTGCACATGATAGGGAGCAACTTTCTCCTCTCCTTCTATTTCAACATTGATTTTCAGTCTAATGGCACCAGAAACAGCTGATTTATCTGTTCGCTTTTCTGAGGAGCAGAAAAATAATACATCAATTAACTATCAAGAACACATTTATGTCACGTGAAAAGCTCTCATAAATCATTCTAGTTAATGGGAATATTTTTTTTAGAGCCAGGAAGTCCTCCTGTTGAAAACCAAGAATTTTTTAGTACTTCACACATGGTTCAGCCCATGAAATAGAATACTGAACTATGAAGTAATGAATCTTTCTTATTTTATGTGCCATATTCAAATCAGGCTGCACTGCAATTTGTTTATCACTCTTCCCTTTTCCACAGAAATTATTTTAATTTTTTATTATCTGTACTAATTATTATTTCCCTTTATTTATGAAGACTTTAGCATGAACCTGGATTACTATGTATCTGGGGGACACCAGGTGCCCATCAAAGCCACTGTATCACTTCCCCTGCTCAGCTGGAGAGAGGAGAAAAAATAGCATGAAAGCCTCCTGGGTCAAGAGGACAGGGAGAGATCACTCAGAGCACATAGATTTTTTACGTTATTATTAAACTGCTTCCAGTCATATTATTTCAGCATGCTTTTTAAAAACAACTCATTTCATAATAACTTATATCTGTTTAAGTCACCTTAATTGTTGAAGAAATAAAATTCAGAATTCATAATGACCCAATTATCTTACCTTTGAAAAAGAACTCATTATAAATAGGAAAAAACCCAAGAATCTATATTCATTGTCAATAAGAGATCAAATAGTTCCTTGAAATATCTATATATGTCACTGGGAAATTAAACACTAGACAGTGTAGAAAGAGCTGTTGATTAGGAAACAAATTTCAGAAAACTATGCCAGGTATTTCACCTGAAGTTTTTACAGAGCAGGTTAACCTAAATAAAATAAAAATTATGATACCATATCTTTATGACTGAATATAGGAGATTAACTTTTAAAATGCTTTTATCCTTCAATTTAGATGGAGAAAATATGTTCTGAGACACTATTGCATTAATTTATTTCTGGTTTAAAGAATGATACTTTTATAGACCTATCCAGACAAGAAAGTGCAGTCACTGAGGACAACAGAAAACAGTGAAAACCAGAGATGATTAAACCCAGAACGGTAATAAATAATTTTTTCAAATATGTGATAAAATGAATGTGAAGAACAATGAAAATATTTACAGATGTATTTCCCAAAGAATGCTCCTGTTATTGGACCACTCTAAGACGTTTTACTCTTACACAGTTTTAATTGTGCATTAAATGAAATATTTTTCTTTGATATAATTGGGATTAGCCTGCTCTCTGTAATTGTCAGAAACCAAAAAAAGAATCAAATCAACTTGCAGTATTTTAGATCTTAAAAGTTGTATATTGGTACCAAAGCTATATTTTTTTAAAGTCACAGAATTACAGACACTGAGATTCTACCTAAATTTGTTTTAAGAAATCAGTAAAAATCATACCTAAATTATACCATACATCCATTTCTCCACTCAGTGTTCTTACTTCAATAATTGTTTGCCCCAGGAAGTCATCTGATTCTTTTTTGAAATGTTGCTTTACTCTAGATTTGATGTCATCATCTTCATCCCATACTCTCACCTTTATTCTATCTGTAGAGTTATGGCATTCACTGGAAAAACAAAAATAAAATACAAAATGTGAGTGATAGACAAGCTATATATCTCCGTGCTGCTGTCTAATTAATTGACCGATTTTCATACACTTGCTTAATTGCATAAAGTGTCAGAACACAAACAACCTGCAACATCCAGTGGAAGAAAAGGCCCACATTGTCAGGGACAAAACTAGAATTGTTTTATATATGAGAAAGTAAAGAGATTAACTTGATTGAATTATGTATGCATAGAGATTGTATTTAGGAATGTTGAGAACTCCTCATTAAAATTAATAATTAATTTAAAATGTGTACTACTCGATGTTATTATTTAACAAGTATCTTAGGAAAGATACAGTCAGGTCAGGTTTGTTTGTTTAGGAATGCTTTGTAGTATATACAGCAAACTGCAAAAGCAGTGGTCTAGAATAATACAAAAAGTGGGAAAAAAAATTAAGGAATGTTTCTACTATGTGTCATGAAGCTTTTGGAAAAAACCCCAAGAAGTATCCACAAACATCACTGCACGACAAGAAGGTCAGCAGGGGAAATAAGGCCAACCTAGGGAAATAAGTAGCTTTTTTCTCTAAAAGATATAGTAATTTTCTCCAAGACCTCCATTCCCTAGTAAGGAGAAGGAGTAGAGACAGACTGCCATGTACTAAAAAATTTATTGCAAATTTAAGTTGCTTACTAACCCCTCATGGGTTGAGTGGATTTGAGGAACTACTGGAAGTGTGAGGGAATGAGGTGGCTTCACTTGCAATCACTTGCAAGAGTTCCCAGTGGATAAAAATTTTTTCTCCCAGCTACACTCTGCATGTATTTGCACAGAAACGGAAAAGAAACCCTATTGCTGCATATTTCTATAAGCCCCAACGAGGACTGTTTACTATTCATCAGTGCTGGCTTTTGATGCCTTGACTGGAATATCCTAACATTGACTGCAGGAGTCCGTGGTAGTGAGAAATTTTCTGCTGACATTTGATGACTAGTACAGATATCAGTTCTAAGGCATGTCAGACTCGTGCTCCCACACTAGCCGTGGTTTTTAATATCCACTCAAGAATGCTACAAAAATATTTTTAAAATTACATATCTTTAAATATAATTTTAAAATGTAGCAGCAAATTTTCATCTTCAGCAGGGTCGTAGTTTGACACGAGACTAAGAGTTTTTACTTGAATTCTATTTCAAGCACTATCACTGCTCAGTGATCTGTTTCAGTGTCTCCAGCATTAAAACAGTAATACTCTAACTTATCTTCCAACTGGCACCCCTCAGGGGTATTCTAAGAATTAATTAGTGGTGGTAATGGGCTTTGGAAGAATAAAGTGCTGTAAATGGTATTATTATGTCACGGCCAATCAGACACTAAAAATGGCATGCACAGCCTTTACTCTGCTGTAAAGTGACATCATTCAGTATCACAGAAATGCTTGTGTCTGCCTGTGTTCCAGATTTTAACTTTGCAGATATTTCTGGTAATTAAAACACACATTGTTCTGTGATTACCAAAACTAATAAAGCCCAGTTTCCTTTTGTCTTATAACTGGCTTGCCTGACATCTAAAACTGCAATCAGCTACTGAATCTTCCCCCATGGCTGGGATTTTCATAAATTGCCCCTCCGTGTGAACTCCCTGGTGTCTGTTATGGGGTGAGCTCATACTGAGGACACTGTCAGGATCTCTCTCTCATCTCTCTCTGACCACCGATTTTCATAGAACATGACAGGCAATCTGTGAAATTTCTCTGACTGATCACAAAATTCAAAAGCTATTGGCAAGGACATATAAAATATAGGAAGATACAGATGGATCAAATAAACATCTTCCCCTTAAGAAATGAGGCTAAATCCATAAACCATTTAATTTTCCTGAAACGTAGCTCTGAGTTATGGCTTAACATTGCTGGAGTTCCGAATTGCATTTAGCTGTGCACCCAACAGAAATATTAAGCAGGGGATTTCGACAGTGGCATAGGGAGATCCATCACTTGTGAGGTATTTATGTGACCCTCATCACCATATCTGTGCTTTTAGTAGAAATCTTATTCCTGCTTTGCTTCTCAAGGAAATGATGCATAGAAAAGGTCATTAAATGGTACTTCAGCACAAACATCATATTTTTATTCCCCTGAGACAGCAATGATTTCCCTCTGATGTATACTTAGCTGATTAAGGAATATTTATTCAGATGGTCAGGATGACTGCACTTTTCCCTGATATCCTCAGTTCTCTCTTCCAGATCCCTTTCTCCTTTAATCTTAGATCAGTGAGACATGGTGAGACCCCTCACAACCAATGTATCAACTCACATGTTCATCTTTGTGTTGAAACTTTAGCACTGAGTCAGCTCTGCTATGTTTGTAATGCTCCTGTGCAAGACCACCAAAAATAGCACGGATCTGTGTTGCAAGAACTGAAGAGTGGCTGAGTAAATATTTCTACTGGCCTGTCCTGAGGCAATGTGACTGCAGGGAGATTTACTATTAAAGCCACAGAGCTGTCTCTGCATGATTCTACCTAGACTCTTAGAAATAGAACAATTTAATGACATGCACATTCTGCCTTAGTCACTGGTAACATCTGTGCAGAAGCCCTGGGTGGGATTCCTACTTCTGCTTACTCTGTCCAGGAAAATCAGCCCAAGGAATTAAAGGCTAAGATAGCATACGCTATTCTTGGTGTTCCTGTTCTAGCCACTCTGCTTTATATGCTCAGTGCAAGTGTTCACGAAGGTGTGATACAAGAAGGTGAGAAGTGAACTGTTCTTTGGCACACAGAGAATGCAGATACTGAAAGCTGGAAAAGCTGCAGTATATTGAGAGATGCAAGATAGAAGAGACAGCGTTAATAATTTACCAACAATCTGGTGACACATTACTTCTGCATTGCCAGAATGCCACATAGACATGAAACAATCCCCACAGAATTCTGATTATTCAAATGGCTAGGGTAATACAATTGTAGTAGTAAATTATTTTTACAATAGTATCCCAATGGAAATTTAATATTAGATGCACCAGCATGACCTGACTGTACATCTCCTCTAAAAGATCTTCACCCAGTGTTAAAATGATAACTAAGTGATACTGTGCTACTTTCAGTAAGTTCAGGAAGCCATTAATTGCTATTATTGCCCTCATATTTATTATTTTTGCCATTACTGCAAGCCAGAACCAGATCCATAGCATTGCTACAAGAAGTCTGTCCACTCTGTTCTTATGTGTTTAGAGATCCAAAGTCTCTCAAGAAATCTATTCCAGTACTTCATTAGCCCCACTTTTGGCAAACATTTTCTGAAGTCTGATTTAAACCTCTCTAAATGGAATTTGTGCCTACTACTCATTGTTCTACTGTAACAGGAAGCATGGGAAATAGATTATTCCTTTCCACTGTGCAGGAGAAAGGATGTGTTTAAAGACATCCTTACCTCCACTACTTGTTTCTTCTCTAGTCTGGACAGTCCCAGTTCTTTAGCAGTGTGGTCACGGGCCATGCTTTCTGATAAAGTAGAACGAGACTAATTTTGCCTTTTCTTGCATTAGTTTATTCTGTCATAACAAAAAGAGAGTTGTATAAAATTAATCTGGATTGAGAGCAGTTTGAAAAAAAGACTCAGACCAAACATGCTGTACCGTGAAACTGAAAAACATTATTGCTGAACAACCAATTTATCATTTGAATTGTTCCTAGAAGTGTTCTTCTCTCTTGATTTGGGCTGAGTCTGTGAGATACAGTTATTTTAATTAATTGGTCTCTCAGAAACTTGGCTGCTTATTGAAGAATTCCTAGAATGGATAAGTCTAGTAAACTAATAGGCAGGTTTCATTACTCAGTTGGTTTTATGTATTATAATGCTCTGTTATATACTTTTGCTTATGAGACAATCCTTAAGCTATTTCAAAAACTCTCACAAAAGTGTGTTTAGGTATCACTGGTAACTGGAACACCATTTAAACAGGTAACCAATCACATTATCTTCACTTATAGTGAAGATGACCCTTTTTACAAGTCAGTTCAGCTGATTAAGAATGTATAAAATGACTTTTTATAGAAAGTGACTTTGGTAATGTTCTCTTGTATTTATTTCCTGTACATGGCTGCTTATACTAACTATTACTTTAAAAGCATCGATTAATAACATATTTCAGAATAAATAAAATGTGTGTAATTCTAAGGAAAGAACATCCACAGCTGGATGCCTGAAATGAGTTTGTTCAAATGTTTTCATGTATTGAAGTTAGCAGTATATCTGTCCAATTAAGTATTTATCAGAGCACATATGTGGGCCTAATGACAGCCAAAACAGAAAGAATTAATGATATAAAATAATAATCCAGTTACTTGAAAGACTTCTGTATTCTACCCTTGTATCTGAGATGTTAATGAATGATCAGAGAAAATGTGGCACCTGCAAAGCAAGGCACTTAGAGATGTGTCCTTGCCAGACAACAGTGTCAGAGAAACCAGATTTTTCTATATTTCAGCAACCAGCTGTTGAAAATGGTCAAGAAAAGAATGAGTAGAGTCTTATTATAGTGTATAAATCCAAAAATTTCTACGAACATTTCTACAGCCCAAATATACCTTCCCATAACTAAAGCTGAAAATGCAGTCCCTTTTCCCATATCAGATGCCACACCCAACAAGAAAGAGAAGGTGATAGAGGGCTTCTGCACTCCTCCTTTGCTCTGGAATTGAAAAAAACTCTCCTATCACTGATGTTTTCTTGAAAAAATAAAATCTGCTCTGTTATCTCATTTCTAATGGTGCCACTAGAAAGGATCAAAGCCTGTAGCACCTGTATTACATTCATCACATGAGAGTCTGCTGGTCTATTTACTTTTCTACCTTGTGCATCAAAAAGCTCTAGTTATGGTGTAGGAGTTACCATTTAGCAGAGAGTCACATTATATTTTGTGAGAAACATTCACTCTCTGCTTACCATAAAATCATGACAGGTTACGTGTGACTCTAAGAACTAGAACACTGCCCTCACTTTATCTGTTATGACAGAGCAAATGCACAGTGGGGAGCCAATGTTTTTTCCACGTCCTTGTTTTGGAACAGATGGGGAGATTTAAATGCATATTTTGGTGTTATAAGTAAATATAAGATTGTGAGATTTCAAGACACATTTTATTTCTGTAATTTTATCATTTAGGAGTTATAATGATTACTAATGTTAAATTTTAAATAGGACTGTCAAATATCACTAGTAGAACCTAATTTAAATAATACTTCCTGAGCCAATGAAAGAGTTATATTGATCTGCTTTAATCTTGGGGTTAAACATTTATAGTTTATTTAATACACTTTAGAAATTCTCATATACTTTCAATTGAAATCCAATGCATTAAATAAGTCCAGAAGATTATTTTTGAAAGCACAAGTGCTATGAAAATGATTGAAAATGTATTCAGTTAAAAGCAGTTACTCTGGAGGTTCATGCTGTAGTAAGGTCTGAAGGGTTTTTATAAATGTTATTGCTTGAGCAGCAGAACATAGTCATGGCAAAAAAAAAATAGAATTTTTTCAAGTTTCCAGGGTTTTCATTGTAGCCCTGTTCACATCTTTGAGAAAACACATTTAAAACTTCCTACTAAATTTACTGAATTGCTCATCTAACTTTTGACACTATGCAACTCATACAACTAAATGCAAGAAAGTAATTATCTCCCACCTTTGGTCACTCTCATTCAGTGAGGTATGACACTTCAACTATCACTGGAGTAGCCCAAATAACTCGAAAAGAAAACACTATCTGTGTAGGGGAAGCCTGTAAAAAGTTTCTAGGTGAGTGCTTTCTCTGAATTAACTATTTATTTCTAATACAAGTGTTTGAATCAGTGAAAGGCATGGGCATACATAGTTTAATATAGTCAGATCCCCCCGTACCTTTTCCAGACAACTAGAAATGGCACATTGGACCAAACCTCTTTCCAAGTCACTACTGAAACAATAACCTGCTCAACAAGAAGGTAGCAGATTGTTGTGAAAATCCAGGGAAGTGCTGCATGAACATATTAGACTTTTATAATGTAATACCAAAAATTTGGACTATTAAAACGTGTCAACAGTTTGCGTATACTCTCAGTATGAATTCAAATAAAATTATTCTATTTAACAAACATTTAAATTATAGATCCCTTATTTTTATAATTTCTTATTTTCAGAATTTACTATGCTGGTGATTTCACACAGCTTTCATAAAACACCTCCTAAACTTCACTTGATAATACCAAGTAACTGCTTTCAGAGTAGACTGGAACTTTTCCAAACAGTTTAAAAAGTCTGCCTAAATACATGTTTCTTTTTCACTTGAAAATATCGAAAGGAAATCTAGGAGGTTAATTAGCTTTTCAGAATCTTTGACTTAGTTTAATAATAGTAGTTAAGTGCACATCATATGCTGTAGTACAGAATAATCAAGTTAAGAAGAGAATAAATACTCAAATACTTTTGCAATATGTAGAGGAATAGCACAGTAAATTGATACTACTGTCAAATCAGTCAGATTCTCAGTCAGGAATGTGTTGCATCCTCAGGCAATATTTTCAGGAAAGGAACAGTAAAGTACCTGGGAATTAGACTTTCCTGTAATATAAAATGCCTTTCTAGGTAAAAAAATTCTAGGGACTTTAGCAGACCTGGCATGAGATCATATTCGAACCTTAGACAATGTATTACAAACTGAACATTTTTGCAGTCAGGGCTGAACTTCTGTGATGTTCTGACCCCAAACTACACCCTATTCACTCAGAGGCCGTGGCCAAAGAAAGGAGGGAGGAAAATCATAACCTACTCTCCACGTCTCTAAAAATATAAACACTACAAACAGCCCATCCCAGAGCCTGAAGCACATCAGTTACTACAAAATTCCCCAGTTTCACCCAGGAGAATCACCATGCCAAATAAAAATGCATTTACCTTGCATGACCAGTATCTTACACATGGGAAGGCATTTATAATGTCAGTACTTGGTGTGTAAGGTTGTAGTCTGAAAACTTACTGAAGTCCCCTAAAAAAATTAGAATAGACCCCACCAATAGATCCCCCAACGGAATGAATTATGAGCTGGATGATTGCTATCAGATAAAGTCACAAAAAGCTTTGATGCTCTCTCCATTCAGAACTTGCTCATGTTTTAATGCTATGAATATGCATAGCACAGACACAAAATATTTTCAAATGAAGTGATTGTTTCTCTTGGTAGCATTATATTACCTACAAGTAAATTAAAAAAAGCAAGACATAACAGTACTTTCTATACTTACAAATAGAATTTTTCGTCCCATACGGGATTCAAGTTTCCAAATATGGTTTTTGTTCTCCGCTTGTTTTTGCCAACTTGCACAGTAACATACGGGTCACTGGAGCCAGTTTTGTCCTTAGCCTGCAAGCCCTGAGCACAAAGAACTGCAACAAAAGGAGAGAAATGTGCTTTAGCCCTCAGAAACTTCATTACCAAGAGGTAAATGACAGTGACAACAGCAACAGGAAACAAAATCATCCCAGTGAGGGTTCCTGAAACAAAGATTTCTGGATTATTTTCCCAGTGTGTGTAACTCTGGAGCCTGACAAGGCTTGTCTAACTACCCTTTTGGACTGTATAAAATTTTAAAATACATTTTAATAGAGTAATAAATGCAAAAATGCACTACCAAGCACAAAACAAACACTTTTGATGCATAATTCAAATACTCTTCTCAAGCTGGGATTTAATCAGCATGGTAAATAAGAGAATGTTGCTGTATACCTTGGCCTGAGTTTAATAATTCCCTAAAATTCCCCTCCCCATCCCCCCATAATAAATAAGATTTCCAAAATTTCTCCAAAGTTCCAAAGTAACGTTTACAAAGTAAAACTTCCAATAGAAAAAAATCTGTGCGGTGGATTATGAAACAAAACAGGAGGGGCAGGGTTCTGATTTGTGGTTTGTTCTCCTCGTGAGAGATGAACCATGATGGGTTTCAGAATACTTTCTATGCTGTTACAGAGAGGGTGACAGTTCAGATCAATTATCATTAACTGTTTATGTATTTGCTAGCCTTTCTGACAGTTATTGTGGGTGTATAGTTAATGGCTATGAATTTAATGCCAAATATAAATCCACATAATTTGACCATAATTCATAAAACTGGAAACCTCAGGAGAAAGCAGAACTGTCAAAGAGTAACCTACCAAACCCAGAGAACTGCAGCTAAAACACTTACTCTGCCTCCTACCATCAGCTGAGCTTGGGTTTTGTTATTCTGCACATATTATTTAAAGCATCTCAGCAGTAACATTTAGTTAACATTCTCTAATGTCATTCATTTTGGATAATGAAGCTCCCTCGGTGTGCTCAGAAAAATGATTACATAAAAATGACACCTTCTTGCTCAGCAGATCAGCTCCTGTGTGGGTTCAGTCATACGTGCTGACTTCAGTGAAAAAAGTGAGATTCTGTTACTTTTATGCATCCAATTTCTGAAAAGACTAACTCTTTGGAATGAAATAGCATATTTTGTCTTCCCCATTCACCCTAAATCCATAGGGGAATTTTTAGAAGGCAAGGAAGTATCCTTCTGTGATTTATGTAGGTGAATTAAGTGACAGCCTAGAAAATGTCTTCCAAGGTTGTTAAATTGTATGTATTATACTGGCCTGAACACAAGACAGCCTTCAGTATCCTTCAGAGGTACAACTAAAAGTAAACATACAAATTAAATCTGTCCCTAGTGCATGGTGACAGTCCCAAAATTCAGCAATTATTCTTTTGAGTTTTGTGCACCATCCCAAAACCTTCAGCAGAAAATATGCTCCCTTTCTGGTGAGGTTTTAATTAAAAAACTTGAATGTCAAAGTCAGAAGACCTGGAAATCATCGTGAGCAACCAGGTTAATGTGATTGGAAGCCTTTTGGAGCGTGTTCTGTGTGTGCAGCATCAGCATCACTAAACTGGAACACACCCTTAGTTAAACAACATGAATGAGTGATGAGTTGCAAACCAGTGGGGTCTGGAACTGCAAGCTCAAGTGTTTTTAGTCACTCAAACCTTTTTTGTGTGACCTTTGACTCTTGCAGTTGCTGGCAAAAAGCTCATCATTAGCACAGGAGACACTGGCAGGAGGTAGAGCAGATGCAACAAGACCATTTACTCACCTTCCTTCCTAGAGCAGAAGAATATAAAGCAGTTTTGCCAACAGCTGTAAAGCTCTTGCACTTTGCATGCTATAAATTCAACTGTTTGCTGATGCACCAAGTGGGCAACTGAACACACAGTTCCAGTTCTGCTTATAATAACTCTTATTCCTGAACCATGAGATGACTAGGAAAGAAAGAAAAACATTTACCTGTGATGGTTATTTTTGCTGACCATTTGGATGTTCCATCTAAAACACTTTGTTTTGCTGCTTTTGTATATTGTACAAAATCTTCTTTGGAAATGTTAAACATTTCCTGGATCACCTCAAACACCTCTGGTCTATTTTTCTCTCTAATCTTCATTCTGTCCTTCATAGCACTAATAATATTCTGTGTTTTGTCTTCTGCACCATGTTTGGAACTTTTCTCAGCTGCTCCTGAAATGAGAGAAAAGGTCACTATTGCTATTAAATAGTTAATTTAGTTCTTTGTTGCCTCTAGAGTCTCCAGTCAATTCTTGGTACTGCAGTACTCAAATAAGAGCTTTGTTTCATCTGAATAACACCAAGACTCTTGTATTTATTCTTTGTGATACCTAAAATTATCAACTGATTTAGTTAAACATGATGGGTTAATATTCAGCTTCAGTCCGGTGTGTGTTATACCTGGAAACATTCATTGAATCAGTACTGTGAAAACATCTGAACACATGAACTGAACAGTGGGCACTAAATTGTGGGCTCAAAATTCCATCATTTAAACACCACTACTGCGCTTGTGTGGTATCAAACTTTAAGGCTTTTTGTAAAACTCTTCTTGAGGGATCAGTCATGAAAATAACATATCACACACACAGGACAGAGAGGATCCTCCCTCCAGTACAATGGTCATTACTGATAATTTCAGTCAGTGGATGAGGACGATAGAAGAGATCAGAGGATTAATATGTGAAAATACTTCTAGACTATATTAACCTGTGGCAATATGTCAGACCTATCCTATAAAAGAAGTCTGAAAAACAAAGAAAACACTCAGGTAATTTTTCTGGAACATCAAAACCACTACAGATTTTATTGGTTTAGTTAAAAAAAAAAAAAAAGGATTATAAGGATACCAAATTGTTGCAGATTTTATTCACGGTTCTTTTCAGAAGTGCTCTGCAGAGATTTCTCTCACAAACAATTGTAAATGATCTCAGAGGCCCTTTAAAGAAAGTGAAGTTCACTTTATAAAGTGTCCTTTGTCTGCCAGAGGAAAGAGTTTCCGATCAATGTCTCAACAATACCTAAATGTACTATTGAAAAAACCCCAAATATCGATCTTGCAGTTGGGTGTGAGGAAACAAACATCAGACTTCTATGATCAGAAGAGTATTACAAATGTAGCGAGCAAAAATTTAAATTCCTGCAGCGCTAAACAGGCTATTTCAGCTCTTGATGAGACTAACATATAAAGCAAGATGAGTACTACAAATTTGATAATCAATGACACATTGCCATTTGCTATAGGCATTGCTGAATTCTGGCTCATGTTGTTAAACACTGCTCAAAGGCTTGTGGCACTGAGTGTCACAATCATCATCATCATTATCATTAGCAGCCCTAAGTACTTCACTCTTCCAAAAGCTTGTGGAAATATCATCCAACTAGCCATCCTCAGCTCCTGGGAGGATCAAAGTATTATTGTTCCCTTTAAAAGGGCAGTAATATCAAGACAAAATTGTGCTGAACAATTTGCTGTGAAATTAGAATACAGATATTTCAATAGTGAAGAAGAACAGAGTTCTGTCTTTACAATGTCATCAACACCAATCTGTTCTTTGGAAGGAGCTTTTGCTGAGGTACTCTCAGCTTGCAATAGCTAAAGAAAAAAAATATCAACACATCCATAGAACTAGAAAGGGTCATCTTTCAGCATAAACTTTTAGTGGAGCCTTACTAAACAAATATTTCATGTTTTTCTTTTCCTCGTTTTTCAATGTGCCTGAAGGTTTCTTGGCACATTGGAGCAAAAGAGATATCTATATATAGAGAGAGAGATAGTAAAGTGGGAAGGCATAATGTCATAGGATTAGAAAAGTGTGGGATGAGGTAACAGATACCAGTGATCCCAGACTGTCAAAAGGCTGAATTATATAGTTTCTTCAAGGAGTTTTTCATGGCACTAAATCTTGAGAAATCTTGAAAATCTCTTGGTCAGATTACCTGTTTTTTTTTTTAATGAGGAAGACCAAAGTTCTAGAGATTAAAGATTTTCCAGAGTGAAAAATTAGGAATTAGTAGAAATACAATTAAAGACTACCATGAAATTAAATACCAGATAAAGAATTCTCTAGTGATTTTATCACAAAAGAGATGATGGCTGATCTGCCTGGAAAGTGTGACAGGTTATTCTTGGAAGATGCAGGAAGGAATATTTTTAATTTTCTCTTATTTTCTGCACTTCCTTAAAAAGTACAAATGCAATATCATAACTGAATGATAAACCATGGACACAATATGAATGGTAACAACATATTCCTGTTAAAAACCTTGCTGATAAATTTGTACAGATAAAACTGAAATATGTGTTAAATGCAACTTCCTTTAACGAAATAGCCTTCTACTTATATAAAATCATTTATTGCCACTATTTTTACATCCTCAATTGCTGACAGTCTATCAACAACTCTTTTCATGCAGTATTGATCAAATTAATTGAGACAATATTGTTAACTTACACTGCACATGAAGTTAACAAGCCCCTTTTACCCCAGGGACTGATACAAACTCAACATGATTGAAATCAATTCTAACTTAATACTGCACCTGGTACTAGACAGGGATATCTTGTTGATGATGAGTGGTCTAATGAAAGTACTACTGATTTTTTTTTTTAAACCTAATTTAGAACAAGGTTAGATATTGACCTTAAAGATCTTGAGATGTGAATCCATTTCTACAGTCTACATTAGCAATCATTGCATATAAAAAAAATCACGGAGGCTTGGAGGTCAATACACCCTGTGATTATGAGATGGCCCAAAGAATGACTGCGATAAAAATAACTACATTTCACTTTATGATACTGTTAACATCAGCTTTCACAGCAACAGAGATTTAACCAATTGGTCAATTCATTTTTCCAATGTAAAACAAAGTACTCTTCATTTTTGAAGAAGTATAATATTCAAACCCACTGAAGAATTATTCTGTTGCAAAAAAATATGACAGGATGCTCAAAAACATTTGCATGCTAATGAGAAGAGCGGGATCCCTTAGGTGTGTTAAATATTTTATCTGCAATTTGCCTTCTAGAGGTTTGTTCTTCCAAGACTTTGCGGTTCAGTGTTTTCAAACTGTTTACACCACAGATGACTTCCAATTCTATTTCTTTTTTTGCAGGCTCTCTCTAAGACTCTTCATTTATATATCTGTAAAAACTCTTCAAAGACAGCATGGTGCTCTGAAACATTTTTTATGGATTTTTGGGTTAGTGATGTAGGCCAGGGAACCTCTGGGCTGAATTTTTCTTCAGCTAAGTGAAAAGGAAGATAAAAAGGATACTTTTACTATGTATGCCTTTTGTAGCTTTTCAATTTTAGCCAGGATTAAACTATTTTAGGGATGGATACATCTCTCATGTCACCTGAGTGACTGTGGCACTCTGAAAACCAGCTCAGCTCTTAGGAAGTTAGCAGAGGATTATTGCCTTGGAAGGGTGAAACAGGAAGAGGCATGGCCAGCATGGAAATATGTGAAGGTGTGTCACCCCACTGGGAAAGGATTACTTATTCTGAGGTGTAATAACAGCTCAGCTCCTTACTGGTATTACACTCAGGTCTAGTGACAAGAGATTTCATCACTTTTAAGAAGCCTCACAACGAACAACCTCTTTAACCATTCTCTCTTATGAGAAATCACAGACTGTGAGTAACTTGTAACCCTGAAATTGTCAGGGACATGATCTTGGATCTTGCTTTTCTCACTTTGCTTTTATTACTGAGCAGAAACAGCTGTAGTAATATTTCCAGTTTGAACTGTGACTCTCTCAAACAGCAAAAAGAGATTAAAATTCTATACTTTATATATGCTAGCTCTTACAGACACCTCAGGGAGCTTTCATTTTCCACTCCAAACTTCTGCAGGAATGAAAAGACACAGACTTAACTACCGTTTTCTTTGATAAAAATGAATCATAATCCTAGAGGTCAGATCTAAATAGTTTTTCAAGCAGGGCTGACTGGATGTAAGAATACACCATTGATCTGTATTGTGCTGTACTTGTAGAGTGCACTACAGGACAGAGGATCCATGAGACAGAAATAGATGTTCTTGCCAAATGAAACTTCCAATTAAAAAAATCTCCCAAGTCCCTGCAATGTAATTCAAAAGGAGACTGAATGCCATGCAGTAACCAGGCTGGAGAGCCTGGTGGAGTAGAGGAGGGTTTTCATATGTTTGGTGAGACAAGAACCACCCAAATAACAGTAACAGAAAGATTCCTCCCAGCACAAAGACATGATTACCATGCTCGTAACAGTTTGATCTTTGCAAGACTTCATAACACTACTGTTGAAACAAGATTTGTTGTGTATGTTTCACGGAGCAAATTAATCTTGATTCTCTTAAATTAAAAATATTTCTGGAAGTGTTATAACATGATATGTTATTCTGTGAAATCCTCCAAAATAAACTGTCCCCTTCTGATGGAGTAAGTTTCAGCTATGTTTTATTTCTAGACCATTATTGTATGTAATTATGGTAAGGGAATTCCCACAGCACTCTACAGAAGACTTGATAGTTATCTCTTTGTCACAGAATACAATCAGCCTTTTCAGGGAGCAGCAGAAGTGAGTCATAGCAGAGTAGCTCCTAATCCCAGCAGTGGCCCAGAAGGATGTGTAGAAAGTAACCTTCTATTAGATCCAATGTGGCCCATAAAGATTTGGTTTGTGTGTCCCCCCCCTCCCCCACCCAGAATTAATCTCACATTACATTTTGAGAATATCAGTATCAATTCAGTGCCTTTCCTCCATGTTTTCTTCCCCCTGTACATAAATAGCTCTAACAAGATAAAATGCATAAGGGGAGAGATTAAATGTAGGAAAGCTATTTCTATTTTCTGCCTCCTCCATCACGTTGGCAAAGTGACTTGCACATATCCTGTTGCCAGCAGAAGTACAAGCTTAACTCATTTCCACGTCTGTAAATCCAGGTAATATAAACCAAGTGATTCCCAGCAGAAACAGGATGTCAAATGGCTACTCAAAACAGAGAGATCAACGGGCTGATGTGCAATTCATTACTATTTTTAGCCAGTCTTAAAACATACCCAGAATGAAATGAGACAATTAGTCAATAAGAGTGAACAGGAAATGGCATTCTGAAAACATTCCTGCTTTTGTTACTGTCCCAGTAACACAGTTATTTGCACTTATTGGAGAAGCTGCTCATGAGTATCATCTTTACACACTTTTGAATATTCACCACCAACAATCACATTAATGCTGTACAAGCTACTTCTGTAATAGTTGATTTTCAAAGCAAACATGCTTTTCTCACTTGTGAAACTGTGTCAAAAGCTTAGTTGTCAAACACAGCCCAGTTGCAGCCATAGTGCAGAATCACAATTAAGCACAGTCAAGCAGCTTGATTTAGAAATTCTTTATCTGTTTGTGCTCCATGGGGTCAGTTGCTCTGGGAAATTTTGATTAGTTCCTGAACAGTATGAACCTTAGGAATCCATCCTTTGTGACAGCTCTTCACACAGAGAACATAGTGGGAAGAAGGAAGACCTGATTGAAGTCTCTATGTACTTTTCCTTCATGTAGAAGCACAGGAACATATCAGCAGTGGAATATCAACATATCAACAGCAGGGAATAACTCCAGAGTTATAAAAGCGTCTATCATTCCAAAATAAGAATACTGGAAAATCTGCAGGTCTTGACTTTCTATTGTTTAGAATCTTGTGTAATCATTGTGTTGCAATTTAAGTATGGTTTAAATGCACCTGGTATATTTTTGAAGGAGAATGCATGGTGGCTGGAATCAATCTGAGCAAAGAAAAGGGTTGGTTCTAGTCCCAAATGACTTTCTGACTAAATTTTTTTTTTCCTCTCACATATATGGTTTGGTATTTTGAAAGGCAAGGTCCTACTTCCTGTTTAATAATTTTGTCAATTATGTAGCACAATAATATGACTATAATAGGTTTCATAAACATTTTTTTAATCTTTGCCATTTTTTAGCCTTAGGCAGTAGAAAGTAAATAATTCTCTGATGTTACCAAGCATTATTTCGTAACTGACCCACAACATCTGGCACATTTTAAGAACCGAAGTAAAACTAACAGTAGCTGTTTCCTAAAGTGTCTGACTGGCTTCTCAACTGTTGAACATGCCCTCACTGATTTTGGATGATTTGGTCCTTCCTTTCAGGATATATCTGAGGGTACACACAAAATCAAAAGGTGTTAAGTATTGACACGCTTGAGGTGTCAAGAAATACTCACTCTGTAAACAATCAGCATTCAGGAGGTCTTGGCACTTCTCATGGCATTTGACACCACATTCCGTGCATTTCATGCCTTGCCTGGCTATGCCCCAAAGTAGACCTTCACATTCATAACAGTATGTGGGAGTTGTAGCTGTCCAAATTTCAAAGTTATGAGGTGTGGTTGATGATATAGGATAGATCAAAGCCTGCAATGTCTTCTTGAAGACATGTATTTTCTGTTGGGTAAGAAAAAAAAATCAAGACTTTGGCTGAAATATTGTTTAATGCAAGTGAACTGTAGCTAAATGATATGGCATTTACACTTCCAGTGCTACAAAAGATCAGAATATACATAGAAGTAGGAATTTGCAAAATACTGATTTACTCATTTTGCCTTACACTTTGAAGGCAAAAGAACACTGGATGACTGTTTTGTCTGAATTCAGAAACAGCAGAGTTAAGCTGGAATCAAGTTAGTCAATTAACACAAAGTCTTATGCGTATTTTTAGGCAGAAATTAAAAAATGCATCAGCATTACATTCATTGGTGCATTTTAATGAGCTACCTAACATTACTTCTGAATATTTAAATACTTTCTACAGGAACCTAGATACACTGCACAAAATCTACTTTGATTATATACAATGCTATCATTCAATAAGTAATGTCTATATAACCTCATCAAATAAAAGCTGGCCAGTTTTAGGGTTCCATTTTATCTGTATTCCTGTGCTATTATCTGTAATAGCCACTCACTAATTCCTTTTTAAGCATCAAGTTGCTTTTTACCTGTAAACAAGAATGATCCATACTCTCAAAAATACACATCCATTTCTTTGACTCGTGGCCAGTTCTACTACAAGCACAGTTATTGGCTGACTAGTACTGTAACAATCTCAATCTCAGCTCCTCAGTGCTTAATAAGGTAAAAACAAAGCAATGTCTGAAGTTTTGTATGTAAAATGTGGGTTTATATGGCCACAATGGTCCAGCTTGTTTATCTGAGCTCTGTTTTCAGGCACTCAGATCTTCTAAGTCCAGGTGATTTACGGGGAATAAAAAAAAGCTCAGCAGTTTGTGGGCTGTACTTGGCACCACACAAAGATAAGATCTTACAACGTTTGTAGGAGTTGCGTGTTCACTAAACTCATCCATGGCTGCCATGAATGTATTAGCAGTTCTAGAACTGTTCCCTTATAATGAATGATTGATTCTTTTAGAAAGAAGAAACCATATTAAAAAGGGTGGCACAGAGGGATATTTCTGAAAGTCTGTCTGTCCTACCGTGGCTGCGTTCAGTGAGGATATGATATGAGGTAGCTCTAGCACTGTAGAAAATGGGGAACAACACTTGGCAATTTGTGTGATTCGTCCATTTGTGCTTCAACATCTCTGCCACAGTTCTGACAGTACAGTAAGCAAAGCAAACTTACTCAGTTAAGCATTTGTTATCACTCCCTTACCTTTAATATTCAGCTGTGGTAAGTTTATACCAAATGCAAGATATTAGGCTGTCTACCAATATGCTGACATGTTCTTGGTTTTGTGTATCTTCATATCTGCTCAAAACATGTGAGAAATTCTGCTAATGATAAATTGTCTGATAAAAATACTTTTTGTGCTCACACTTGCATAATGTTGCACAATCAGAGCCATCAATTAAACAACTTTGGCTACCACGGGAAAACCATTACCATGTAGCAATAAATCTACTGATCCATGGGTTCAAGCACTAAAAATAGCAGAACCAAATGTTAAGTAGCTTAGGCTGCAACAGCTCTTGAAGTTAAGAGTTACACACTAAAAACAACATCCATCCTGTGAAGCCTAACCAAATATACATGGTCAGACATTTGATGGGCATTTTACTCTGCACTTCTGAGAACACTGTAGAACTGAACTAAGAAAGAAACCTGATACAGCACACAAGACTAAAACAAATACTGAATTGCTCCCTGGGGTGATTCTTAGCCTGTCCTGGTAACTTCCCTGAAAGCAAGGAAAGCTCTGCACTGGTTTAATTTGGCAGACCCTAAGAAGGACTGGGATAGTCATGGCCACCTAACTCTGGAGAATTCATCTTTGCACATATCTCCACCTTCTGCCTCCCATGTTACAACTTACCAGCTTCAGGGATCAGAAAGAAACCTAAGGTGAATTTATGCACTTGCTGAGAAATGATGCTTGTCAGAAACCACCAGGTATTTGAAGGTTCCTTTGCAGATTACACTGTCCCACTCCTGAACTCTCGTAGCCTCAGTACAAGTCCTGCCCTTTCACCCTGTTCAGCTTCACTGTTTTTTCACATTATAAATAAATTTGCCAGTAACTGTTATCTTTTTCTGAAATGTCAGTAAGTAATGAAATGGCACAGCTCAACAGGCCTTGAAATAAAGATTTGAGGGTAAATGAAATTTTCAGCTGAAAGACACAATTTGTAAATTGGTTTTGCTGCTGAACATATTCCTTCCCCTGTTGTTAATAAAGCAAATGGCAAAGAAGAATTTTATTTATCTTACTGTCTAGAGGCTTTCATTCCTATTACTTTTCTCTGTTTAAATGTTTCTGTTATATGAATTCACTGAGCTCTGGGCACGGCAACATTTAGCACTCAATATAGAGGAGAATTATCTAGTTATCTGCTTATCTAGTTATCTAAGTATCACACTGCTTAAAATGTCTTGGGATCTGTACCTGAGAACACACAAACTCACCGTGCCATGTGTGTGCTCCACCAGAAGGACAACAGTGTCAGGGGGCAAAGCTCAAAGCCTCAGGTTTTAATTTTTTGTGTCAGTGGCATTTGATTTTTTAATAAAAGGCATTAGTTCAAAGAATTTCCATACTGAATCTGATCAACCAAATAACCTGCTCCCACCAGAGTCATTAATATTCCCTCCAGAAAAAGTTGAGGGAGGGTAAAAGCCACAAAAGCCTTAATCAGAGGAATAACTTGCTCAAAGGGGTTTTTTTTCCTTAATTCTCATCAGCGACTGCATTTCTTCATCTGCATTTCACATCTTCATTTTGTGGAGAGTACCTGGAGAGTTCTTTTATGCCTGAAAATGTCTGTCCTTTTTGTTTTTAAATCTTGCTCTACCCAGCTGAATGATGCCCTAGGTTATTAAGTTCAGCTGGCTACTTAGAGACCAAGTACAAAAGTATTACCTTTGCCATGTTTTAAATATCTTGCCAGTGGCTTTACTGGCTGTACCATTACATTTATCTGTGAAAGAGGAAAATCACAGAATCCTCACTTCCCTTCATGTGTTTAGTGAGGGCTGGCTCACTAAAGAATAAGACAGGATTTTTTTATTCACCTCTTCTCTAAATTAGCTTTTTCCCTTTTCTCATCAAATGAACTTTGATAGATCTAAATTATATTTGCTGTCTGCCTTTGGACTTATATTTTTATTTAAAGATTTCTTAAGAAGTATCTATTTCTGATGCAGAGTTTTTCATATGGTATGGTTCAAAGGGAGGCCAAAGAGTATAAAGGCATAAAACTACATTGAAATTATTTTTCCATATCTCCTGAATCATAGTTCAGTAGTTTCTCCTGGCTGACAGCATTGGAGAAATGCTCACACTGAGCTGTCTACTGGGATTTGCTGCCTTCCTTTTCCTCCTGAGCAGTACCACACAAGTAAGAATCTATAAGTAAAGTCCAAATTATTATTTATTGTCCTGCATTTGTTGGCAATTAATATTATCTCTAAAAATTGCAACTAAAGTCAGAGTCTGGTAGTTTTTACAGGAAGGGATGCATGTAAAGGAATAGTTGCATCTATATTTATCATCATAAAAGGTAATAATGCATACATAATTTTTTTTTCAGTAAACATCTTTTAGTAAAGCATATGGAGTATCTTCGGTTTTTTACTGAATTTAGGTATTTTTGCAGAACCTATAACATAGATGAAAAAGTCTTTATTTTGTACCACTTGCATGGTGTAAATTTTTCTCTTTAATTTTCTCTCAGCCTTGAAATTCTTCTTAAGATTCAATAGTTCTCTTTCATTCTGCCAACCTCCGTTACTATTTTAAGATAGCAGAATAAAATAACTCCTTCTTCTACTAAAAGAACATTTCAAACACCAGCTGTTTTCTACCTCAGCAATCCATCCCTGAGCACTACCAAACTGGTACTTTATGTTTACCACATAAGCACAGAAAGTTCACAGTAAATCAGGTGAGATGAACGGGTGTGTATTTGTGCTGCGGGTTTCAGTTCCCAGAACACCTGTCAGTATATTCTGTCCTTCCATTCTTCTCCTATGGAGCTTAGCAACTGCCTAAGAGAAATTCAACACTTCGTTTTTCTTCGATGTAGGATATATTTTGGAAGGTTATCTATGCACTAGCAAGGTAAGGAACACAAAATGGGCCTGTATTCCTTCAAATTAGACCTTTTGCTTAGTTCAGCCATGCAAATCTTCCTGCATTGCCCTTTAAGTATTCCTGGGGAAAATGACAACTTTTGAGCTTTTGTTTCAAATAAATCTCTTTTTCACAAACTAAGTGAAGTCAATAATGGGAAACCACAATACACAGGTTTTACTAGCTATGAGAATTTGATTTTTCAAAATATTCTTGTGGTCACTTCTCGTATGAATTAAACATTTCTTCAAAAATGATGTGTTACTAGCATGAGTTACATTAAAAACCGTCAAATAGTGTCCCAGCCACCTCTAAGGACTGGGAAAAAATAATGACCACAAAGAAACCTTCTTTCAGAGTCCTGTCATTCTAATTGCACTCATGGTGTGATAAAGACATAAAGATGTTGAAAGACTGCAGGTAAAGTCCAGTATAAAATGCTTCCCCCAAATCACTGTTTGGTAAAACAAAGGTTTCTTGCTCAGTCTTTTCTGACTGTCATGGGTCTGAGTCAGCAGAAGCAAACCTGGCCTTGTCACTGTGGATCAGGCAGCAAATTCTGCTCAGGATCCCTGAAAGTTCCTACCCTGTAAATGGAATGTTTACACACTTGATTTCATCCAGTTTGGAGTGTCTAAGGCTGAAATAATTTTTAAAGATCTTTCAACAGAAATGTCTCAATTATTTAAGTGATTTAAATGTGTCATTCAACACACTTACCATTTCCTCAGTGTTTATGGAGGTCCGGGTGAGCATGGCCATGGAAATACCAGACTTTCGAGCTGCAAGTGTCTGTTTGAGGCAAATGTAAAATGGTTAAAATTATACTTGTAACAACAGCTGTCGAATCTAATGGAGGAACTAGCACTTGATTATGCTATTGGATATAAACAAAACTTCAGAAGTTACAAAAACTTTTAGTTAATGTTTGCAGCCCACGACTTTTAAGGTTTCAGCACATAATGGAAGTACACCTTCCATCATCATTACTGTTTCTTTCAGCACTGCCCAGCTGAACTGCCATTTCTAATACAAGACCTGTTATTCAGAGGTTTGTGACTCAGTTTTTTCAAACCACAGGCTGTCACTGTTTTTCCGCTTTGCCAACCAAATTAATGTGGTACAAGGGTAGGCATCCTGCCCTAATTTGGAAGCTGACTGTGCCTGCAGCAACATGGGAGATCATTTTGCAGTAGTCTTACGGTTCAAGTTGTCAGTGTGGATAATTTTTGGAACTCAGTGAGCGTTTTTAAGCTGTGCGTATGTATAAAAGTGTTACTTGTCTTGAATAAAAAGACTTTGAAAAACCTTAAATTATTATTTCCCTTAAAGAGAATATTAATTTGATACTATGGATCATAGTATCCATACATGGAGAAATACTCTGATTCCTGGAGGCAGGAAAAAAGGCTGGAACTCTGTCTCAAGCTGTCCTTGTTTGGCCACATGATGTTATTGCTATGAACACTCCCTGGTTCCAAATACACACTTGGTTGTAGAGATAATCTCATTTGCTCTAGTACAGTACGTACAAGGCGACTCAAAATGAACTATTTTTAAAATACAATAAACAATGAAATTTTTTATTCCTTATTGCAATACCCCTGAAATTTAAATGGTTCCTTGAGAATTGATTAGCAAGTATAATGACCAGAAGGGAAAAGACCCTGGTGAAATGAGTTCTTTGTGTTTTCCAAATAATATTTCAAATCTGAATATCACTTCTGCTATCAGTACCCCTTCTGGCCTGAGACAGAAACAGGTAAGATTTATTTCACTGTGCGAAATATCAACCATAACACTGTTATATTACTGCCCTTCACCTGCAACGTCGTTCTTATTCTTCCTTCCCCCTATTCTAAATCATTCCAAGTGTGTCTCTAGACTTGTGCTTTCTCTCTGTTCTTCTGTCACCCAGTATCTGCTTTGTCATGCACTGCTGCCCTCATAGTCTAGCCCCGTGCAGATCAATTATACCACCCACTAACCATAAGTCTGTTGTTGCCTTTGTTGTGGGGATACAAATTTTCACCTAACTGTGCAGTGTGTCTCTGCAGTGTGTCACCATTACAGAGCTAGTACAGCAAAAGTTTCAGTGATATTTTGCATATGACATTTTTTTGGTGAAATATGTATTGGGTCAGAAGCAATTCAAGCTCCCATCAACAGAGGAATTGCATCATTAATCTTTGGATGAAGAGACAATCCCAATTTCTTCCCATTTAATAATTTTAAACATTGACATTTAAAATGGATTTTTATTTATTTATTTAGATATATTAAGACTGTTCAATTTTAATTTTAAATGTTCACTTCCCCTGATTCAATTTTCAATAAGTTTCTCTTGATAATAATTATTCTTGCAGACTGACACAAAATTATTAATCTTGTGAAACCAATTATAGGGTAAGAAGTCATCCTTGGTTTAGTAATATTTGATTTGATTAATCATTGTCCTATTACAGTTAAGATGGCATGCAAAGAACCCTCTTTTTTTTTTTTCTTTTGAACTCAGCAGCTTACCCACTCTATGCCATTAATTTGCTATGAGTTTTCCCATTCTATTATTATTAAGTAAATAATTCTGTTTACTTCTCTGGGACCATCTTTTTATTCTATTTCTGCGAATATGGGAAATTCCATCAGTGAGTGCCAGTGAGATTGACAAAGTCACAGAAAAGATTAAACAGAGCCCAGAGGCTTTGCTGTTTCAAACTTTTTGTGACAAAATCTAATGTTACAGGACCCGTGCATCAAAGTAAAAAATGGTAAGGAAAAATGCAATGGGATCATTAAGAAGAAAAGAAACAATTTTCATAATCAATATAGTTTCAGGTTAAAAAAAATTACTTTAAAAGCACCCATCTTTTGATCCCTCCTAAAGCACAGGTTTCTTCTCCAAGTCTTGCAAAGTATCCATTTATATTTACTTGCCTGCAGTATGCTAGTTTTACAGTTTTGAACTGTAGACTTCACGTCCCTTATACCTAGCAAGGGATTTGATCCTTTCAGGTCTCAATTGCACAATCCCAGCCATGCCAAGTGAGAGAACAATGGGGACGACTTGTCAGGGCAGGAGCAGAAAGGGCATAATAACATTAACCTGGATGATGGGGCAGGGACTGCTGCTGTGTTCTGTCCTCCAGCAATTCATCAAAGTACATGAGCCAGCAGAATTGCAGCTTCATGGTAGCAGTAGAAGTCAATAAACAGATATTATTTCCCATGAGAAAAAGTCAAAAAAGGGAAGCAAATTTGGCCCTGTCCTGTGTCCTTGAAGCTCAGTTCTCCCAAGGGGCGCTCACGGAATCATGGAACTTCACTGTTTCGCTCCTTAGTAAGAAATGTGTCTAAAATTATAGTACAGTGCCCTATATAAAATAACAAAACCTAAGAGAAAGCAGGTAATTAGGTTGTTCTTAATCAAGTGTTTGTCATGTTGGAAGAAAGTGATATCCAGAGGGATTTGGGATAAACCACTATATTTAACAGTCAAATGGATTAAATGTACAGGGATTTTAGCGAAAAAAAAAAATCACAAGGGTTATTTCCATTTCTGTATCACTGTCAGAATAAACTGCATCTGCAGGAGAAAGTCCATAAGTAAAATGTTGCTGTTCTGAAATACTGCAGTTGGTGATAATTCAATGGGTAACTGCAGCAAATCATCTAGGCCCTCTAGGAAGTCCAAATTGCCAGAGCATCAGAAGAAGGTGGTGAGCAACAAAAACCTGAATTGGTTCACCACTCTCCTTCAACAGGACACAAGACCTATGTCAGCAGTTTACACCTGATTACCCTCAACCTGATGTTCAAACCTCGTGTCTCTCCTTATGTGAGAATTTGACCTGCAGAGTGTGAGACCTTAAGTAAGTACTGTTGAATCCTGAACATATGAACAAATTTATAAAGACCTCCAAATGGTAAGAGAAGATGATAAAGCAGAACATTGTCTATTTAATTTTTAAATGTTTTCCCAAATCTCTGATGCAGGATTTCAAATAAATTAGTTTCCTTTAGGCTCAAGGCCTTTTAGACGACTTAAAGACTTGTATCTATACCGTCTCCAAATTTGCCTTAGCAGCTTAAATAAATAAATAAATAAATAAAATTAGAAGTAATTCTAGAAAAAACACTGAAAAATGGTAGCTGTAAGTAAAAGTAAATTGGACTCAAGCTACAATTAAAGTCCCCTTTCATGATGGAATAAGTAAACTGTGTTTTGTACTAAAGTAGCACAGAGGAACAGGCAGTCAAGCCAATGTAACTGTTTATGAATTCATGCAGTACTCAATCCTCAGGTTTTACAGAGGGTCTCCATTTTCCTGATCATCTTTTGGTTGCTAATTTTTTTCTTTAAAAGAATCCATAAGTTACTATCAGCAGTTGAAGAAAAAATGTCTGTTAACACCTTAAAAATGCTGGTGTATTTTTAATGCAATATGAAAGACAAACATTTTACTGTTTCCAGCATTTAAAGGCTGCACAATTTTAGAACTGCTTCTTTTTGAGAAACCACAGGTAATTCATCAGATCTCAACTTCTTTATTTTGGAAGAAGATTTGTACTCTGTTGCTTGGGGTGCTGGAGTGGAGGGGTAGAAAGAATGAGAAAGAAATAACTTGAAATGAAGCAATCTACTGCCTGAAATTACTTAGCCTGTTCCATAATTTTTCTATCAAAAAGTTGATGCCTGATCCTGCAATATTCAACAGATATGAAGTATTAAGCTTAGAAAAAGTATTTAGAAAGGAAATGACAATTCAGCTCAACTACATGATCACTACTGGGCATAACTATAATATCATTTACTTTTTCCTCATATTTGTAGCACAGACACAAAAGCATGTCCCATCCAGCCTCACAGATAATGGTATTTTTATGTTTACATTTATTAGAATTAACAAAGCCCTCACATCTTCTCTTTCTCTAGGTATCTAAGGCTCTCAGTATCACAGGGGAAACATCATGCTTGGGTGCTAAACATTCTGCTTGTATCATTAGAAAGGATATTTGGAATACATTAATTGCTTTTTAACATAAACCTTTTCTAATAACTTGGTATATATGATGCAGAGGACAAGACATTTTCTTATGATTAAATTCTTTGTCATAAAACATTTTTCCTACTTTCCAATAGAAGGTCATATTAAAACATAACATTACTGAAATCCATAAAAGTTGTTACGATAATTTTAGAACATTTATCAGGATAAAAGTACTTACCATAGCCTGAAAAATCCAGCCAAGATAGGAAAGAAATTTTAAAGAATATTAATAATTTGTCAGATTTATTGCAACACAAATATATATGAAATTATATCTATTTCAGTCAGTATCAAAAGGGTCTATCATTCATTTCTAGCAATATTATCTCTATTTTTATGAAACAGTCAGAAGTAAGCATAAACCAAGGATCATTTACAGTGTATCACGTCTTACAAGGATCTGATCATTAAGTCATTGATTTAAATGAGGAGTGTTGGAATCCACTGAAAGCTCAGAGCTTGCAGGAGGCTGCTTGAAACATATACCTTTAAATACAAATAATCTTTGAAAGGTGAAGACCTACACTAAGCCTGAAATAAATTCTTCTGAAGTTGGAAGAAATGTTTTAGGCTTACAGATGTAGAACTGAATTGTAACACAATTTACTCTTTTAAAGACATAGTTAAAGAACATATAGCTAAGAACTATACTGTAAGTCCATAATGATTCAATTTCAGAATGAATTTCATTTTTAAAACTCTGCAATTTATACTTATTAAAGATAGAATTCCTTCAAGGAGTTATTCTCCAGGGAGTGCAGAGTAAAGCGGAAATCACTGACAAACCAGAATAATAAAATGAAAGTGTTATTCCTTTCAAAGTGAATAATTAACATTCTGATGTCTTAATGCATTCTGAGCTATACTTTTCTGCAAAAAGTTCCAACATTTAAAACAGAGTGTCATTTAATATGCATAAAAAAGTCATAATGGGGCAGTAGATTATTCTTGTGTAATACAGCTCACAGTGGAGTGGTTGCTGTCCAAAAGATGGTTTGAGTGAATGCAGGCTCTCCTATGTCACACATGGTAACATCTCATTGATTTCAGAAGGAATTCTACCTTGAAATGGTTGCTGTTCTTTCTCTGTTTGATTGTTCAGATAGCACAGTGCATCACTGTAAACTAACTGAACAGTGTAGCTGAGAGAACAATGAGTAATACTTTAGCAAAGGCTGATCTTTTAATGACAGCTCCAGTAACATTTACTTAGGCTAACTCCCCATCATTTCTTTACAACAAAAAATTGGTTTGGGGGCTCACCGCCATCAGAGAGTAATATGGATTTTATTGAATTATGAATTCTGTACTTCAGGAAAAGAACAAGAAAAATGTGAATGGCACTTGAAATTCTTCAGAGCAGAGATTCTACTTAATCTTGTTTAGACTGGAAGTCAGAATAAATCTCAAAGGAACTGCCATTCTTTTCACCTTGCTGAAATTTATTTTCTAGACTATTATATATGTTAGAAACCCCATTCCTCATCTTGTAACAAAAGAAGTACACATAAATCTTAAAAATATTCATAGTGAAAAAGGGCTGCTTTTTACAAGGAACTTTCTTCCTCTTTCAGTATCAAAACAAATCAAGTCAATCACTATCCCAAACCCTTAATAGCACCTGCCTTCATAAGCTAACTTAAAATGAGAATGGGCAGTTTATTATGGCATGAAATGCACATTAATTGATTACACAAGTAATGTCTAAATATTCACTGAGATATTCAGACTTATCTGCTCCATTCTAACAACTGCCTCATTGACTTTTACTGGCCTCAATCCATTCTCTCAAGATACCCATTTTCCCTAAAACAGTGGCTGACAAACTGTCATTCACGTGCACAGTAGTAATTGCAGGAAGGGTGTAGACAATTGACAAAGGAATTCACAGTTTCAGAAGTCACTCACCAGATCTCGAACAATGGGAAACGATTTCTTCCTGCGCAGGTCTGGCATGCTGTCAATGCCATACAGTCCACTGAAGGAAATACAAAGGCAAAGAGGAAAATACAAACATGGGGCTTACAAGTTTGCATCCTTAAGAACTGCTTGTAATATCTGTATTTACAGATAAAATCAAAATTAGCAGTTATCAGCTAAAGAAGGTCAATGTTCAATTTCTTAGGAAAAGTTGGTGAAACTCTTGGTGCTGCTGACTTTTACTTCTGGGGTTCACCAAAAGCAGAGTAGATGAAAGGCTGTTTAATACCTCCTAAAACTTTTTGCCATTGATTTAGAAGTTATAACAGTACCTTTCCATCAAAAGGTCTTGTATATCTGGTAGCTGAGATGCAGCCCAACATTGCAGAGAATATCATTGTTGTAATAAATTTGATAAAAAACTACAATACCTAGCGAAGTCACAGACTGACATCTCAAACAACTCCATGTAAATGTGGAAAACAGAGCTTTTAAGATACTTCCATGGTGACCATCATTATTTTCTCTTTCCTGGTTTAAGCTTTTTCATTAAGCACACAATTAAACTCCAGTTAGATCTCACATATAACTTGGAAACAGCAGCAAAGAGCAACGTGTAATCACTTCAAGGAATAAAGGCTGATGCAATAGAATTTGGAAGAATACTTAGTGATACAGATAACAATGTGCCTCATTCTTCCTGACTCTTCACAACAGTTAACACAGGTATTATCCTCCGAACATTTTTTGCACTGGATCTTGGAAGATTGTTACATACCTTGTCAGATCTAATTCAGAGATACTTTGAGATTCTCAGAGAAGGCGGTGTATAACACGGTTTGTCATCTGAAAGTCCCAATTTTATTTGTACACAAAACAATTTTTGAGTGAAAAGAGGTATAACTGAAATCAGTGAGAGAATTTTCACTTCCTTTTGAAGGGTCGGGACTTTGCCCCAGATGCTCTTTCGGTGACTTGAGGATTACAACCCCCACACCCACCCAGACCAGCTTACAAACTTGACAAAAAAGTTGACAAATTCTAGATGAAAGGTAAGACTCTGGCTGAGGATTCCTGCTGGATATAGATGTTACAATTCCAGAACCGCAGCTGAGTCCAAAAGGAATTATGAATCAGAGACCTCAGCTGTCCTGACTTCCAGGCTGGCACATTGATGTAAACTGAAATCAAAGCCGAGTTATGCTGATGGGCCAGACTGTACATGGTTGGGACAGACTCATCCCCGCTAACTATTATCTTCAACATGCTTATATCTTCAACATGAATCAACACAAGCCAACAGAACTCAGACAGCAGAACTCCAAATGATTTAAGAAAAGTGAAATACATCCCTCTGTTTTTCTTTGCAGAGTTCCTTCTAGTTACAAGAGAAAAAAGGTCATGCCTTTCATATCTTAGTTGAGCGAGTAAAGCACTCAGAGCATAAGAGAGTTTATTTCAACACTCATGAGCATTACCACTTTCCAAGCACTATCCTAACGCTTGGCCTATAAATTCAGGAGATAATCTGTTTCTTTCATACTCCCTTCTGATGCACCTGCATCATCATCTAAAAAAGGGAAAGGAATTCATAAGCTGTTTATGCAATTCCTTTATATTTTGACATGAACAGTCTTTGTGAAGGGTTGTGATAATAAAATTTTTTTTCAAGAACATAAAGATCAAAGTAGACCCAAATCGCAACTTCCAGACCTACAAACCCAGGAAAAGCATAATAGAAATAAAATAACATTTCTGAGGTTATGAAAAGTAAATGTATGGAGACTAAGAGATAAACTCAGGAACTCAGGGCTTTTTTCTTCTCAGGAGCAGTTCCATCAGCAGCAAATAAAACTCATCCTGTGTATAAGGAATTCTTATGCCACAAAGAGATACTTCTGACAGACAGTATCTGTTAAAGCACTTCCATCTATTATTCTGCTCTATAACATAAAATATGACTGAAATGGAGGTTCTTACTGAACTCCTTTTACTAATCATTAAGGAGTAGCACATAGCAAGGCAAAAAAACCCCACAAATTCAAGAATGACTAATAGTCTTTTTCTGGGGAAAAAGTTATGTCTGAATTAAGCATGTTGATGATGTTACCAAAGAAAGAAAAGGTTGGCTTTTGAGGGAACAGCAAGAATGACAGATGAATAAAGGCAGATGAATACATAATGCAAAGATATTTTATTATGACATTAGTGGTGTAATTTATGTTCAGTCAGTAATCTGTCATAACTCACACCTCTGTCTCTTTAAATAGCTTAATCTTCTACTCAATCTGTACTTCCCTCCCCCCAATCTTTTCATTATGATTTCCAACTCAACTCCAACTTAGCAGAAACATCTTGATCTGCTTATTCCTCTGTGCATCTCTACAATATAACAAATATTTACTTCTAACTTATGTATAGTCAAGAGGTACCCATTTTGTTCTTTTGAAAAAGTATTACTAAAACTCATTCCAGTTATCATTTGCAAAGTGAAATATCAATGAAATTAAATATTTTGGTTTTAAATGCACTTCACCATCTTTTCTGACGATACCAGGGTGGTACTGTAACCATTACCAAGAAGTTTATGTATTCCACCAGAAGGTTCTGCAACTTCTCTGCAATTAATCTTTGAAACCTGGCAATGTCAGGAAATTCTTGCACTTACTCAGTCACCTGAATACCTTTAAGAGGTTAAAGAAGCTAACCACATTTGAGAGAACAACTGCAACCTGAAACTGCAGCTTGTAAAGGGAAACTCTTTCCTTTCTGTCTCCTTTCGTTGTGCAATGAATCAATGATCAGATGAACTCCTAGAAGACAATAATATCTCCTGTCTCTTTGCTGAAATCAATCTTATTTTTGGAGAACTGCTTACATAGTTCTCTTCCTTGCATCTCCACTGAAACAGCCCCAACTTTGGGGATGTGAACTAGAAATCCTCCAATGCACAAATTTTCTGTAGAAGGACAAATCGATCCTTCTAATAACACATAAGAGGACCGTAAATATGCAAAGATTGTTGGCTATCACTGGAAGTAAATATTAATATACTGATCTGGGTTGTGAGATCAAATTTTATTGAAAAACAGAATAGCTACTTTACCAGAAATAACAAACTGGTCACTGCTGTATTGACAATGAAATATTAGAACATTAAAGACTAGCCATAGAAAAACTGTTTATGGTAATGTAGGTTATACAGTAAATTCTCTACTTCCCTCCCTATGCCCAACTATAAGACAACCATAACTTGACATAGAAGATGGTGAAGTTTAATCAAAGTTATTATTCAAGCCACGAAAAAAGTCTGTAATACTATCTTTTGTGTGCTTCTGAAGATATTCTGCTCAACAATAATGTATTTGAATTTGTCAGAGTCTAAGAAAAATAAGTTTGTTTTACCATTGAGAACATGCCATTGAAGGAAAGGAGTAATCATCTGCATGCAGCACCATCTGTGTATCATTAGCAAAATTCAGAATGGATTAGGCCATATGTAAAATTATTAGTCTCTGACTTGCCATCACACAAGCAGTAAATTAATACAGAGCAAGTCTGGAAAAAGTATAACAGTACTACTCAAGATTCATGATAAAAAACCCGGCTGACCTCCTTTTACTTTTAAAAAATATGCAAATAATGAACTCTAAAGTGTCTCATTTCCAATAAAATGAAGAAGAAATTTAAAATAAAGAAGCCATTATGGAATACCGGTATGGAAACCCCAGGAAAGGTGGTGCTTTTTGCCAAATAACAGAGAGCTTGGATGAGAAACCCCAGGAAAGCTGTCTTTGGTCTTTGCCTGTACTTTTTTTTGTCCTGTCATTTCATGCAGCCAAGAGGAGATCATAGCAGAAAACGAAGGGTTGCCGTCCCTGCCATGGATGTGGGGTGTGCTGGTGAGATGTGCATGTGAGATGGGGTCACAGCTTTGTGCTATGACAGAGAGAGAAGAGCAAGGCAGAAAAGATGCAGCTGAGATATTTCTGTATAGATAAGGCACAGTATCAATGGTTGTGAGGGAAAGAATCAGCCCTCACTTCAGAAAACACGTTTTAGAGACTATAAGAGGAAAAAAGAATCATAGCTAAAACTGCAGTCGTGAAAAGGCTGAGGGATCCTAGAATTTAGGATTAGTTTTTGTATGCAGGAGTAGAGTGGGAAGTGTGATTAAAACAGAAGCACAGAAGTCTTTGAAATGACAGCATTCTTTGGCTGCATGAGAAGTTAAATGAAAATTGCGTAACTGTTTTCAGCGAGGTCTGGTGAAACAGAGGCTTCAAAAAGATATTGCAGACAGCAAAGGGAGAAGAGGCTCAGTCTACACATTGTCAGCAACAGAAATGATGTTTAATTTAAAAACATGAGCTAGTATTGAGCTATTGTCAGTCATCTGAAGTCGCCCCATGCAGTGGTTACAGGATGTCTGCAGAAGGGATTGACACAGCTTATTCTCAGAGGACTCAATATTTGAATTCATTCACCTGTGACTGGAAGAGAGGGCATAAAAAGAGCACCTTCAGTCTGTACAGTCATTGTCAGTAGCAAAAGTTCTCCTTACACCTATGAGATTGTTTTGTGTGCAACCAACAAAAAAATTAGAATTCTATACACTCTTGTACATTACCCTTTAAAGGCCTACATCTATTAGGGAATGGTATTTAAGTAACTGGTTATGGAAAGTAGTGTATATGGCAAAACGATATAGCCTCCTATAGGCATAGATATCAATACCTGATTGTCAGTACCTACACTCTTGGAGTCTGCTTACAAAATGCTCTCCTAAATTACACAATAACTCGATGTTAAACTGCTTCTCTTCTGGTTTGTGTTCAGCCACTAATCCTGCCCAATGTCACAGCTGGCCTCACACTTTTACAGCAACTCTGAAGGTTCTGAGTGGTGAAAGGCAGAAAGACAAGACTTTGAGGTATGACAAACTATATGGAAACTCCCTAAGCCACTGAAAAGCTGGAGAGTACTCTTAATTTTGTTAAAGGTTTAATAAGTACAAATGTTACCTTAACTATCCCTTCCACAGAAACATGTGAATTACATTAAGCAAATTCAAGCCATAATTACCTTTTAGGGTACCCCCACCCCAAACCATAGGAATCTAAACAGGAAAACTTCCCAGCATCTAGCATCTGTTGTATAGCCTTTCAGATATAAAAACAAGAAGATGAATGATTAATTTGATGTCATCACCCTGTCTGTGTAACAAAGCATATATATAGCAAAAGTGCTTTCATGGTGCACCAGCAAAATGATAATATCCCTTTTAATTAGGTAGCTATTGTAACTGATAATTTTACCAATGACTTTTACTTCTTTTCCTTTTCATACAATTGAAAATAGGAAGGAAAGATTTTCCTCAAAGGAAGGAATTCCTACAACTAGATGCAAGATAACTTCATCTGGAGACAACAGAGCAAAATGTTCTGGTTTCTGCCACATTCACTTTCAGCTACTGGAAGATCTTTTTCCCTTGACCTGTTAGTTTCTAAGTACCAGATTGATACTATATTACTAGCATTACATTACTATACATTTACTAGAATGAAGACAAAATTGTGTTACAGCTTCAAAAGGGCATCTGTTCTATATGCAAAAAAAAAGGTAAAAAAAAAATCTGTCATCCAGTTAGCCTTGGTATCTGAATTGTTGTATTGATTTCTCAAAAAAAAAAAATTATTAAAAAAATTAGGAGGACAAGACACAGTTTTGTTGTGTATCTTCGCTTAAAATAATGCAATTTCTTAAAATAAGAAAACTTAGAAAAATACTACGATTCTATGAGACTACTTTGCAGATGTAAATATCAACATTCACAGTCATATTGGTACTTACCCAGTAAATGCCTGGACTGCATAAAGCTTGGAAGCATCCAAGGAACTTCCGCTTACTATGCGAGCCTTTAACAGAGACCAGAAAAAGTACAGTCACTTGGTTGCTTTTAGTAAGTTTTGCACAGAATTTAACGGCATCAAACATGTAAGACATATGAAAATGTTTAGCAGGGTCAGCTCCAGGCCAAAGCTAGAGTAACTATTCCTTTGGGATACATTTTGGTAGCATTCAGCATTTAGTGAAACACACTGGCAGAACCCATGGGAAGATAAGGTATTGCTTCCCAAATACTGTTGTCCTTAAACTCCTATAGTGTATGCAGTGTAGGTGATAATTAGAGGCAAATATGAGATATCATGTTTGACAGCAGCAGACCCCTGTGTTGGCAATTATGATAAGCACAACAGTGAGGGTTATCCTGTTTATAAATGCAACACATTTGCAATACACTCAAAGGAGAACAAAAGAGTGGAAAGCTGGGGAAAAAAAACATGCAGATTTCACAACTAAAATGAAGGAACAAAACAGGTCAAAGAAGTCACAAACAAACATCAACAAAATACATGATCCCTATAGCAAATAGGTGATTTTAAACCTTTTCATCCACAGAACCGCTATCTGAAAGAGAATTGGGAAGAAGGGGAATATAGGTTAGACAAAACAGTCTCTGAGAAATATCTTATGTCATAAAAATCTGTCAGTCTTTTAATCTGGATTCTGTAGACCAGAATCCAAGTAACACCTGTGCTTATAATTGTGGCAAGGCCACTCTCACTACACTTTAAACAAGCAAAAAGATGTTATCAGTAGATAAGAACCCCTGCCACTTATGAAGGGCTGTGTGGATTGGATATAATCTACATACCATAGCTCATCCCCACATGATTTTTAACTTTATTTTTTAAAATATATTTTTAATATGAATGAATGTATATTTAATATAGTTACAGTGTTCAAAAAATAACGCTCTATTTTAAGGAAAAGGAAAGGGTTTCTACTAAGGATATAAATACACTAGAAAGTGTTTCTACCAAGGATATAAACACACCACACCCCCAGCTGCAACTCCTGAAATGTAACTATTCTATCACAGCCATTCATATAATGACAGAAATTGTTCCCAAATACCAATAGAAGAACCACAACTGTGAAAGTATATGACATATATAGTTCTACATTGCCTAATGCGAAAACATGATGTATGCACATTTACTATCAGACAGAAAATGTTTGCTGTCTGATATCTAAAATATCTACCCTTATTTTATTGACTTTCACACTTTATAGTACAGTGCATACATGAAACTGTGTTGTTTTAATTGTCACCTTACTGATCTTTCCACTTTTTCCCCCAAAGGGAGGACACATTCCATGAACCCTTTAAATAGTTTGGGTATTTTTGAGATGTTTGGAGATATCTCAGGTTATATACTTTACAAAATAATAATTTACACCTTAAATGTGCATCACATTTCATTTCTAAACTAGTTTATCTGTAAGAAAATATCTCATTCAAATGTATATATCAAAAATATAGTGGCAAATGTAAAGCTGAATAAAATATAGCAGTGACAATCCAGGGAACTAAAAGTATCTATTATGCCATTAATTTAAAGGCTAATTATGTAATCAAAGCAAAGCACATGCACAAGAATGGGCAGAATTAGAGACTGGAGACAAACTGTTCAAAACATATTTTACAGGTCAAATTATATCTGATTATGTATTATTCAAAAAGTTTAAAGAGGATTGAGGTGCTAGATATTAGCAATGTCACAACACCAAATTGGAATCCACAGAAAACCAGCTATGCAACAGTCTCTTCCCCTTGGAGAGACCATAAAATTTACCATCGTCCTGTGCTTGACTACAGATCTCAGCTTTCCCTCACTGCTGTTGTGAACAATCCTTTTAGAAAGGGTATGCCTAAAAGAATGAACAATAGCTACTTGGCCTAAGGCAAAATTATGCTCTGAGTTTTACATAATATTAAATTAAAACTCTTACTAATAGTGAACTTCACAATTTAGTGAAAGTACAGTAAGCACATCTCTGTGTACCAAGAACATCTGCTTTATATGCTGTGAATTGATAATTTTCGTAGTTCATCTCCTGAATACAAATGGACATTCTATCAATTTCTTTTTCATGTTTTATAAAAATTCATTAAGGTGTCTTTCTGCTGGGGTGTGAACTATTCTGATGTTTTGACCTCACAACTTCCCTACCCCCTTTTCTGAAACAGTAGAATTTTCATTTAGCCTCCGAAACTCATTCTTGGCTAAATGAAGCTATAGTGTTTTAGTTGTCAAATTACCCTCATTTGACTGAGTAGATTTATAAAAGAGCTTACTCTTAAAATACCTTTTTAAAATTTATTTATTTGTGAAATGCATTTATCTAACAACATCAGATGTGACTGGCTACTCTTTCTCCACAAGCATAGAAAGAAGATTTGGACAAAGCTATGATCCAACTTTCCCACTACAAAATTATTACAGCATTTCATAGGCAGGGTGAAAGCACAGCCAGGAGTAATGAGGTGACTGTGAGCTGGGCTGGCTGGAAACAGGAATATGTTTTTATGAAGGCTAAAGAAAATATGAGGAATACTTAAAACCAGAGTGTTGGAGCAGCATCTGCTCAAATAAGTGAGAGAAAAGGCAAGAGATCAAATACCAACAGGACTCTAAGTAGGAGAGACTGAGACTGCATCAATTCTCACACTTGTGAAAAAGGAAGGGTCCAAAAGGTGAAGAGGAGTGTGGGAACTGAGGGAAGTTTTAAGCAAGACACTCCTTGGAATTAAGAGGCCTTGTCATAATCTGATCATGCAACCTACACCTTCTTTCTAGAATGTCTAATCAAATCATTGGTAATACTGCCACGTAAAGACACATAATCTCATAATAAATCTCATGTGGAATGCATGCTACAAGATGCCTAAAGAATCACATGAATTCTATGTTTAATTCACTTGTTTAGAAGGTTATTTTAAAAATTGTTGACTTGTCTTCCACGTTAAATGGAATTTTGTAATTCAGAGCATGAGAGATGGACATATGAAATTTTCCTTGCTTCTCTTGGGTTTCAGGCACCTTCATCAAATTTCACTACACTTCTTTTACTGGAACCTAATCATGACTCAATTTAGGAAGGAGAATCAAAAATTAGGAAGGGAAAAAATATGTTTTTTAATTAACTTGCTCTTCTTTGCAGTTGCTTCATATAAAAAAACCAGACAAAGAAACAAAAAACCCCAACCACCTAATGGTCTCTTTTCTGAATAGAAATTGCATAAAGCAAACAACTGACGCAAATTTCCCAAAAAGAAATCTTGAGAGCATCTCTTTCTTTTGTAACAAATGACTGCATCTTCAGAGATAAAATTAGTTTGAAAACTTCTTCATTGTTTACTGCTTCTTCTGAACTCACCACGAGTGAAATAATCTGAACTGTGGAAGTGTTCTCTGCGCGTATGAGAGCACCAAATCAGGAAGTGTCCAGAGTCACCAAGCAATTCACTTTAGTAGTCGTTAGGCTACCAGAATAGACAGGAACATTCCTTGATGTAGATAAGAAATGAACTGTGATTATGTAAGAGACCATTGAATGTATTTTCAAATCAGGGATTCAAGGCTAGACATCTCAGATTATATTGTTGAATGACAATGATTTACTTAAAAGAGCTTATCTTCATGTAACTCATTTCTGTCATCCACACACTCAAAAAACTAACCTAAAAAAGTTATGAGTGTATGAGGAGCAGTGTAAACAGTGGTTTATTTAGTTAACCCTATGGGGCACTTATTTTATTTCAGTTAGTTTGCTCCTTAGATTTTTATTTTAAGTGACAATTCATTACATTATGAAATACCAGTTAACTGCCTTCATGTTATGTCTCTCTACCATATGCCATTTTAGATAACAAGAGAGTGTTTTACTAGGATTACAGGAAAATTCCAAGCAGTGATATTGCTCCTTAGTTGATGCTATTTTTTCTCTGTGCACTCCACATATACACACTTGTGTAGTGGAATGACAAAGAGCAGGGTGGTTATCTGCCTACATTCTACTGAACATTATATTTACAAATGTCCAGTACTGAAGGCAAAAGGAAAAATTCTTCCTGACCCCTTTTTTTAAAGCCAGTTAATTATATTTAATTAGGTAACTAAACATGAAATTAGTTAAAATTAGTCTTTAAATTTTCATTAATAAATTTCAGGTGTTAAAAAGCTGTATAATATTCGGCATAGCCACTAAATCCTGACTTCTGTTGAAAATGGTTCACAAGTATCCACCAGGGTAACTTCATCCCCAGATGGTGAGGACTGGAGAGGTGGAGTGAGAGGCTTGTGTGGTATTCTTTCAGTACCCTCAAATAAGTCCCCAGGTTATTCTCTATCCCCATGTCAGTTTAAACCAAGGCTAAGTAAAATTTCCAAAAGTGTTTCTTAATGCTGCATAATTACTATTTGAACTTAGTCTGAAAACTATCAGATCTTAGAAAACTTTAACTTTACATGGTTCTCAACTGTTTTCAAATTAAGTCATGATCTAATTTATTCATTTTTAGTAAAAATGTTACTATCTGTAGTTCACAACACAACACAGGAATTCATCATACAAGATAACTAATGTCTATACCCAAACTTCTGAGAAAAAAATCTGTGAAAGATGCTAAAAAGGCAGATTCTTCCAGTATGAAAGGTATATTAGCAGTGAAGATATAGAAGTGAACACAGATCTTTGCTTTTGTAGCTTGTGATACCATCAGAAATACAACTGGACAATAAGTCTTATCCATCAGCAGAGATATTTATATCAAAGAGGTTTGAATGGTTCTGTGCTCCCTCCCCATCATAATGATCCTTCAAGTTTTGTGTCATTATTTCACTTCTACATTTTTCTGAGCAGCAGACCATTGTCCCAATACACTCCTCTTTCTTTAATGACTGCAAAAATTGAGCTATTGAAAAAGAGAACTATTCACCATCACCCCTTGCCACAGTGCAAGAACTGTAATAAGGTTCTAAAAATCTAAGCTGCTAGGAAACCCCAGAATCAAAATTAATCAATCCCTTGATTTTCCACTCTTGGAAGTGTGTGTAATTGCAGAACACCAAATTGGAAAAAGAATTAAAGTTCATCATTGTTTCAAAGTACCATTTGAATCTTTAGTTCCGCAAAGTGGCTGCAAGAATGTCAAACTGACTGATAATTACGTCATTCCTGGAAGCAAACCCTTCAGACAAAATTGCTGGAATTAGATAAAAATACAGCTCTTCCATGGAAATAGCATGTGTAAAGTCCTCATCTTCAGAAGTAGTTTGGAGTCTGAGCTGGGCAATTCTAATTAGCAGGTATTGCTAAAAAAGGGAAATAATGGAGGGAAACCAGGTTCAAATAGAAGCAGCACATACAGATTATCTGCCCAAAACAATGACACAAATTAAGCCATGCTAAAATAATAAATGCTGTACCCACAAGCTATTATTGCCACTACAGAACAGAACATTACGCTGTGCAAGCCTAGAGGATGTTGTATTGCTGGAGCTTATTCCAGGAGGATACTGTATAACGCTTGAAAGAGAATATTAAAGCTAGCACATCATGA